AAAACCTTTGCAAAGTGTTTTAAGTCCATGTGAAATGGGGGTGCATCGTTGCTGTTTGCAGGAGGCCAGGGAGCAGACCCAGAGATCATTAGGAAACTCTGCAGAGTCCCGTTCCCAAACCATGGTCAGTTTGACCGGTCTCAGAAACTGCTGATCATACTCTTCCCATTGGCTTTCTCTGAAAGGCGTTTCACCAGCTGAGAAGCTTCATGATGGTAGCACCAGTAGACAGTGAGGGTGGGAAGAACTTGAAGTCTAGACCTGGGAAGGTCCTCAGAGATCTAGAGAGAGAAGGGGAGTGACTGCCCCAAGGTCACACTGCCAGTAAGCATTGGAGGTGAGATCTAAACCCAGGCCCTCTTAACTCCGGAACCGTCGTTCTTTCCGCAGGACCGTTTGCCTTTCAGAACCTTCTTCTTCTGAAAGTTTACCTAGGTTACACAGGATTGATGAAAGGGAGATTCAGAGGCCTTACTGAACCTTCTCCAAATGAACTGAGGTGAAATCTCCTAAAATGCCCCCTGAGTACCATTGAGGTCACCAGAGGGGCAGCACAGCCTGGTAGATAGCGCCCTGGACTTTGTAATTAGAAAGGTCTGGGTTCAGATTCCATCCACGGATATGTGCGAATAGCGTGAGCCCAGCTGGGAAAGTCAATAACTTCTCTAGGCTTCACTTTGCTCATCTGTAAAATGAGGGAGTTGGACAGAATGGCCTCCAAGTTCCCTCCCAGCATTAAAAGTCTACGACAAGAGAGATAATGATGGGGAGGGTGACAACTGACGCCTCCATGGCGCTTTCAATTTTATCAACTTTGAAATGAGTTTTCACATCTGAGTCTCACAACAAGCCAGGCCAGACAGGTGCTATAGGCACCATTATCTCCATTGAGTTGTCCTCTAGTAGTTAGGGGACTTACCCAAGGTTGCACCCCCTCCTCAGCCACTGTATAAGGGTGACGTATGCTGCAGGTGTAGACTGGAAGTTGCTCAATGTTTGAAGCCCCTAAACTTGTAAAGAAGAAATTAACTCACTGAGAGCAAAAGAGAAAAAAAAAGCCAAGTGATTAAGCTCTGAAATGAAAATTTTAGGTCTTTTTTCTTTTTTCTTCAAATCTAAAGAAATGTTGGAACACCACCTGAGTACTCTTGGAAGGAGAGGTCTGTAAGAGGAAGTTCTTGCTACCCCTCAACGATGCTCCTCATAAACATGACCGTGGGAGCCAGACTGGCAATGGCTGGGCCTCGGACACCCCCGGAGGGAGTGGGTTGGATTTCTCCCTGGCCTCCACTTTCTTGGTTGTTCCCAAAGGCTTGCGATCTCCAACAATATAGCTCCATCCCATCCATCCCTTCCCTTCCAGGTAGCTCCCCCACGTGTGCCCCAAAGAGCCTGGCTGAGGAATCTCCTTGTTTCTTTCTGACATTTCAACCTTTCTGTGGCGTCCTATGGGCTGCCCGTTAGGATGTCATCCCTCGCTCAATGAGCTGCCCACTCACTTTCTCGTGAATATTTCCTTGATGATGTCTCCTCCTCCATAATTTCTTGTTTGCAGCATTTCATAAATGCCTTCTGCCCGCCGTGTGTGTCTCCATCGTGCTTTGAGAGATCCTCCGCTTTCATTCTTCGGAGATGATGGTGTTTTGTGACTTGTAAAAATATGCCGACGATAGACAAGTACTGGTGTTGAAAAAGTGGGCGATGGTTCTAAAATCGCGTTTTAGTGTTTGGGTTATCGTGAGCTATTTACACATTGTAAGAACATGAGAGACAGCGTGACATGGTGGATGGAGAGCCTGTCTTTGTATCAGGAAGACTCAGGTCCAAGCGCACCATGGCCACGTTCTGGCTGTGTCACCCTGGGCAAGTCACATCTCCTGGGGCTCCGGGCAGCCTTCTCAAGCTGTAAGGGGCAGAGAAGGTGCTGGCCTGCTTGCTGGAGGGAAACTCCTCACTGGGTCTTCCCTGTCCCAGGTCCAGTCTCTGCCCTGTGCTAAGAACATGCTGGTCCTTCAGAACTCTTGAGGCAGTCACTGTGGAAGTCATCTCCATGGAGGCCATGGAGCTTTTTAGGAGATTTTAGGAGATTTGTCTCCTATAGATGCTGGAGTCTTTGGAGCTTCCACAGCGACCTAGACTGCATGCCTCATGCCAGGGGGAAATTTTTTGTTGGTCAAGATCTCCTGTAGGGTGATAGTTGGGTTTTCCAAAGGAGCAGGCCCGTCCATTTTGATTCAGAGTGTTGGGATTAAGGCTAGAGTTAGGTTTTTGAAGGGGCATTGAAGTTGTTCAAGGGGAAGATGCTGTCATACACAAAACTGTTCTTTCCCCCAAAGTTTAACGCCTGTCTTCAAGGAACAGTAAAAGAATGGCAACCTTTGGCTTTTGAGTTGGGATGCAATTGAGTCTCCCGGTCCTTCCAGGCTGGCTATTGCTGATTAATGGTCTTGAGGGGCCAATCCCTTCGGCCGTTCAGCTTTTAAAAATATTTCTAAATACCTAGGAGGCCTGTCTCTATGAAAGCCAGAGACTAGGGGCAGACAATGCCTTAAGTACATTATTTTGATTGGGGTGACTTTATTCATCATACTCAATTACTTTCAGTAATCCATGCCAGAGAAAATAATACAAATGATGTCTGATGTGTTCAACAAGTGGGAAGGGATGCTCTGTATTAAAAAAAAAAGGTTGGAACAATGGAGTGGTTAAATGAAGGAAGGTTGCAGCCAAGAGCATTGGGAATCTGGGTCTTTCTTTAGGATTTTCACTGGAGACCCATGATTTTTAGGCGGTGATAAAGAAAACCTGTTTTTTAAAATTTTTAATTAAATTTTTATGATGGAGGCTTTGGCAGATGCTGTTATTTAAATATTCAGTATGGGTAGAGCCAAGGTGAAAGCAGCATTGAGAGGTCTGAGGCCTCAGTACAGTAGGATTTGTCATATGTTAGGGGGAAGGGCTCTGTCTAAGTGGACATCAAATGTATTTGCTCCCGTCCCACAGGACTAGTGACTAGGTTCATTAGCAAAGCCTCTTCCAAGGTGGAGGGGCTAATTATGTCTAAGGTCACGGTCTTCTCTCTCCTCCATCCCTTACTGGAAGAGCTGAACGTCAAATCCAGCCTCAGGCACCGGGCTAGCTCTGTGACCTAAACCACTGCCTGCCTCAGTTTCCTCCCCTGTAAAATGGGGACAAGAAGAGCATTCATATCACGGGGTTATTGTGAGGATCAAAGGAGATAACATTTGGAAAGCTCTCTGCACAGTACCTGGCACATAAAAGGGGCCAAATAAATGCTTATTCCCTTTCCCTAATGCTGAGGATATGAGTCATGAGGGTAAGGTTAGTCCTGTGCTAAAGAATTCTGGGGTCTGAGACCAGGGGATGGGACCTTGTCCAGCCCCTTCATTTTAAAGATTAGGAAATCGAGGCCCAAAGAAACAAGCATTTATGTAGCACTTACTACGTGCCAGGCACTTTGCAAATGTTATATCATTGTGCCAGAGGCCAGATTCACACTCAGGTCTTCGCTACTCCAGGTCCAGTACTTTGTGCCCCATGGTGCCCCCTAACTCCTAAACTTGCCTGGCTCTTCCAGTATGGGCAGGTAGCTGTCAGCCAGGCTCACCAGTCTAGAGCCTCATCTGCTTAGCACCTGCTCGGGGCAGGGCCCTCTGCCAGGCCCTGGGGCACTACCTGGCCTGGGGCAGGGGAGGGGAGAGGCCAGCCAGGTAGAGAACTGTGATCCACATGCTGAGAGGGACAGAAGGGACTCAGACAGCAGCATGAGAGATGCAAGGACTGGGAGCTCACCCTCAGGCCAGTGGGGACAAGAATCAGGGACCGAAGGGTGGCCGTTTCCAAAAGGCAGAAGTGGGAGATGGGAAGAGAGCACTGCAGGCATAGGGACAGCCAGAGAAAGGGCCTGGAGATCAGCAGGAGCCCTGGGTAAGCAGGCAGAGCAGTTTCCTCAGACTTTCAGGGGCCGTTAGAAGCGCTCCACAGCTAGCCTGGCATCGTGGCAGGAGGACAGCTTTAGTGTCAGGAAGATGCCGGGTCAGCTTCCATCCCCAACACAGCTAATTAACTTCTCTGGGACAGTTTTCTTAACCACAAAATAAGGAAACTGGACAAAATGTCCCCTCCATTTCTGAATCCACCATCCCAGGGAATATGGAAAAGGGGTATGATAGAGGGTATGAAAGGCCTGCTTCAAAACCTGGGTTCAAATCCTGCCTCTGACTGATGCAGCTACAAGGCACGTGACCCCAGACAGGTCATTTCAACTCTCAGCATCTTAGGAAACCCCCTAAGACTGGACAGGACGGACTAGCTGGTCATCAGCGTCCATCCGGGAGGGAATTCCCAATGCCATGACACAGGGCTGGATGGACACAGGAAGACGCCAGCCCCAGGCTTGCTGTTGCTTCTTCCCTTTGAGTCCATTCCTGGAAAATGGACCAAGGATCCCCCTGCGTCCGTGTCTGGCCCATGCTGGGTTCATACACAGCAGAGAGATCAGTGCCCGACGGAATTTTTCACCTGAGAAAAGGGGGTTGGTCCCATGACTAGGCGTGTGCTGCCCGGCCAAGATAAGACTCAGAAATCCCTGGTCATTACTCCACCCTCTTACAGACCCAGGCGTTACATCAAGTGGCTTCAGAGCCCCCTGGGTTTCATTCTCTGCCCCCCTTGTCATAGAGGGGGCAAACGGCCTCTGGAAAGGCCAAGGGCTCCAGAGTCCATCCCAGGGCTTGAATCCCCACCAGGATGCAAGACACTCCTGACCTTTCCCCGACGGGCATTCGTCCTTCATTTTTGTTCCCAGCCCCTCCACTGATGTTACCGACCCAGACCCCAATACCCATGTGCCCTGGGGGCTCAGGGACCCCAGCTTGAGGCAGTCTAAAACTGTGTGTGTAAGCAGGCAGGCCTGCCCTGGGGGGACGGGTCAGTGGGTGCCAGCCTCCCTCACCTCGGCTGTTTGCTTCTCTCCGCAGAGACCCTTCTGGACGACTTCCTGCTCACATACACCGTCTTCATGAGCACCGATGATTTGTGCCAGGCGCTGCTGCGGCAATATCCTTCCTTAACTGCAGGACGCTTTGCAGGCTGCTGTCCCAACAGATGTTTCACGCTCCAAACCATCTGCCTTGCTTAATTAGCCAGGTTGTGAGGGAGCATGGGGCAGGTTAAGGGCTCCTATCTTCATCACAGAGGTTAAAATGAGGCAGAATTGGGGGAAGGGAGAGGAAGGAACAAGCATTTATTAAGCACCTACTGTATGCCAGTCACTGTGCTAATCACTTTGCTAATAGTATTTGATCCATAACCCTGGGAAGTAGGTGCTTTTATTATTCCCATTTTATAGTTGAGGAAACTAAGGCAGCGAGAGGTTAGTGACTTGCCCAGGGTCATACAGCTAGTTAAATGTATGGGTCTCCTGTGCCTAGAACTCTGTGCATCGTGGTTCCACCTCGTCCTGGTCATGGGCAGTACCACAAAATGTCCCCGTATCATGGAGAAAATGTCCAGTTGATACTATTTCGTGTCTTCATATGTGGGACTCATTTATAATTGCTTAGAAATCCTGGAAGCAAATGTTTAGCCTTAGATAAACTTAGACTCAAGTAGTTGTGTCCTGACAAGTTTTTAGAGTTAGTGGTGGATAGATAGATAGGTAGATAGATAGACAGACAGACTAAGCATTTATTAAGCACCTGCTGTGTTCCAGGCTCTATGCTATGCACTGGATACAAATACAAGCAAAATGAAGAATAGTCCTTGCCCTTGAGGAGCTTACGGTCTAGGCAGTGTGGAAAGGGGAGAGGGGGAGGGTATGGAAACGGCCAGGATGGGACTTGGAAGCCGGGACGGAGAAGGAGAAGGCCAACGGGAGGTTCTGAGGGGAGGGGGTGGAGACGCCAGGGAATGGCAGGGTTGGCTGAGCTCCAGAGGGAAATTCCAGCGATGCCGGAATGCTAGGAAATAATCATTCATCAGTAACATCATAGCATGTCTATGACGCTTTGGCAAAGCACTCTACGTATATTCTCCCATTAAATCCTCACAACACTTCTGTAAGATAGCTGCTATTTGGGGCAGCTAGGTGGTGCAGTGGATAGAGTACTGGCCTTGGAGTCAGGAGGACCTGAGTTCAAATCCAGTCTCAGGCACTTGACACTTACTAGCCGTGTGACCCTGGGCAAGTCATTTAACCCCGATTGCTTTACCAAAAAGTAAAATAAATAAATAAATAAATGATCTGCTATTATCCCTGTTTTACAGATGAGGAAAATTGAGACCCAGAGAGGTTTCATAAACATTTATTAATGGTTTAGTGACTTGCTCAAGGTCCCACAGCCAGTGACTGAGGCGTTTTGAACTCGGGTCTTCAGTGCGCCACCTAGCTGCTGTGTAAGGTAGTGTACTGATGGAGGTAGGTTACTCCCTTCTCATGGCCCAGTGAGAAATTAGGAGTTAAAGGATGAGCAACTAGGTGGCTCAGTGGATAGAGCACTGGGCCTGGCATCAGGAAGACCTGAGTTCAAATCTAGCCTCAGACACTTACTAGTTGTGTTACCCTGGACAAGTCACTTAACCCTGTTTGCCTCAGTTTCCTTATCTGTGCCAAGAAAACCCCAAATGGGGTCATAGAGAGTTAGACACAATTGTAACATCTGAATAACAACAACATGGGAGCTCAGTTCAAATCCTGTCCCTGTCCAGGCAAAACATTTGACTTTTCTCTGGGCCTTAACTTCCTCACCTGCAAAATGTGAAGGTGGGGATAGATGACTCTGAATTCCCTTCTGGGCCTAAACCCATCGTCCTTCCTCTTCACCAAGTGGACGTGGGCCTCAGTTTCCTCATCTGTAAAATGGGAGTGATAACGGCACCCACCTCATAGTGTGGTTGGGCCAGGTAAACAATATACACCCCCACCTGACCGTGTGAATGTGAGTTGTTGCTATCAACCACAGCAGATAGGATCCAATTTAACACACTCACTGTTTGTTAAGGACAAGACGTAGATGTGATGTTGAAAGACCCAGCCTCCCCAGCAGGTCTGCGCCACCCAATTGCTGCCCAGTCAGCCTAACACGCCTCAGGAAGTCATTGCCACCATATGCAGCCAAGGGGCTCGTCACAACCCATCGTGACATCTTGTAGGACGGTGACTCGATCTTCACACGACCCCCTTTGAACACCATGAACCTGAATTCTAATGGCCGGCCATGTTTTCTGGTTCATCATAATTCTTTTAAATCTCTGGACTGACATGGCTCTGTATGTTGTTTCCAACTCAGAGTATTTTTGCTATACGATACAATAGGGTAGGGGGTGGTGGGGAGCGGCGTGGAGTGGCGTGGAGAGTGGCAGTGGGGGTATCTCTGTTAGTGAGCACAGGAATGGGAGAAGGCCTCCTTTGACCACCGCACCATCTCCAGGGGCCCAAATGAGACCCCACTCTCCTGCCCCTTCTTGCATTGTGGGAAAATCAGTGATGTTTGCCAATCCTAACTGTTTTAAAGCTTCTAAATTTCCATCATTCTTACCCAGGACTGAGGATGGCAATGATAACAATGGGGAATGTCATTTGGAAGTCAGTCATGATTGCCTAATTATTTAAAGATACTAAATTTGCAGAAAAATATTGATAGGAAAAGGGACAGCTAGGTGGCACCATGGATAGAATGCTGGGCCTGGCCTGAGTTCAAATCCGGCCTTGGATGCTTACTAGCTGGGTGACTCTGGGCAAGTCACTTAACTTGTGCCTGCCTCAGTTTCCTTATCTGTAAAATGAGCCAGAAAAGGAAATGTCAAGCCACTCTAGTACCTTTGCCAAGAAAACTCCAAATGGGGTCATGGAGAGTCAGATATGACTGAAAAACAACTGAACTGTCCTACAGTCCCTCTGGTCCTCAGGCTTCCTTGGGCTTTACCCCAGAAGCGATCCTAGCCATCCTGAATGTGGCCAGATTTTCTAGAGGTATGAGGTAGACTCAGCTCCACAGGGGCACAGGCCAGGTCTTAGCTGAACTTTTTATCTCACCTTGTGTTCTGTACACAGTAGGCGTTTAATGAAAGTCGGTGGAAATCAGCATGTTTCCAGTTTTCCTAGTTATTTCCCACGCAGTGACTCTCAGTGGGTCGGGATGTGGCCTGGGGTCATATCCCAGCTCCTGAGGATGGGAAGCCTTTGGTGCTTTCAGCTGGAATCGCCCAAATAGTTGCGAGGGACTCTGATCATGAAGCCTCAAGGTCTCGTACTAAGAGGCTCATGACAAGGTGGCATCTGACCCCTCCAGGAGCATCACTGACTTCTCGCAACGGAGAAGGCTTCATTTTGCAGAGGGGGACAATGAGACTCTTGGGGGAGGGGTGAGAGTAGCCATCGGCATTTCAAGTGCGAGAAAAGCTGGGCCAACTTTCATCCACACAAAACAGAACATGCTCCATGCTGTGGCTGCTTGGGCAGCGTGTACTATAGGCTGTACATGAACACTGCCAAATCCCCTGGGACATTCGTTCACCCACGTACTCTCAGGGGGTAAAAGGAGGAATTCCTCCTAACTGGTTCCTAGAGCAAACTCTAAAATAAAGCTTATCCTTCTGGTAGCCCCAGCCTCGCAAGGCCTGTTCAAATGGTTGAGCTCGGTGTCAGGAGGGGGCAGGAGCAGGCAAGAGGTAGGAGGGAGGGGGGCAGGTCTGTGATTAAGCCACGTTTTATTAAAAAGTGCAAACAAAGCACAAACTAAGAGTCAAGCTGACTTTATGATTAGAATTTTCTTGTAAAGACCGGGTGATTCCAGCCGAGAGCACCAAAAGTTGCCCGCTCTCGTGAGCTGGGCAAGGTTCTAGATGTGCCCAGGCAACATTCTGCCCTGCTGATTGTCGCTGGGTGAGGAAGAGCAAGGGTACTTGGAAACATGCTCATTTATTAAACACCTACTGTGTACAGAGCCCAGGGCTAGAACACAAGGGGAGATAAAAGCGTTGGCTAAGACCTGGCTTGTGCCCTGATGGGACTAATGGTCTGCTTCACCTCTCTAGAAAAGCTAGCTGTTTTCAGGATAGCTAGTATCACTCTCAGGCATGAGCCTGAGGGCCAGAGGATTATGGGACCAGAAATCTGGATCTGGAAGGGACCTCCGAGGTCACCCAGCCCAACCAGAAAACCAAGGCCCAGGGAGGTTATGTGACTTCATCATCTATCTAAAGCTGGACGGGCCCTTAGAAGTCAGTTGTTATATATGAGAAAACTGAGGCCCAGCCAGGTAGTGTGATCGGCCAAAAGCCACAAAGATCATAGACATTGGAGGCAAGATTTGAACCCAGGTCTTCTATGCAAAGCATTATAGGTTATGAGCTGTCAGGGACCTTGGAGGTGAACTATTCTAACCCATTCATCTTTCTAAGGAGGAGACTAACACTCAGAAAGCCTGACTTCTTCAAGGTGACCTGAGCTCTAAGTAAGGGTGGGATTTGAACCTATATCCTTGGGATCCAGGCCAAGTGGTTTTTGTTTTTTTAAAAAAAAACGCTGGTCCCTATTTAACATTCAGGGTTCTAGTCTCCTCCTAAAGCAGGAAGTCTAAACCTGGGGCCCATTTTTTACATTATTTTGATAACTATATTTCCATATAACTGACTTCTTATGTATTTTATACATTTAAAAACTTTTCTTTTTTGGGGTAGGCAATAGGGTTAAGTGACTTGTCCAGGTTCACACAGCTAGTAAGCGTTATGTTTCTGAGGCCAGACTTGAACCCAGGTCCTCCTGTCTCCAGGGCCGGTGCTCTATTCACTGTGCCACCAAGCTGCCCCTAAAACCTTTTATCTTAGCAGTCCGGAAACTTCACTATAAGTGCCATAGGGTCCCAAAAAGATGGAGTCTCCACCTTCATGCCACCCTAGACTCCAGTAGACCCACTTCCTTCCACCCTGTTGAATTGGGGCTAGGCCAGGTCAGGGCCTCGGGGGTGACAGTGAGAAGAGGCCATAGAAAACCCCTCATCTCAGGCCCTTCGAGGCTGCAGGTTCAAACGCTTGGGCCCACACCCAGAGCGGAGGAATTGGCCGAGGCCGGGACTCTTGGGCATCACCCGCTGCTCCGTCCCCCACCTTCCCCTGGGTTACCCGGCTCTTTTTCCTGGGCATTTGGTTCCGTGTCGTACATGGGTGCCTTCTGTTCTTTTTTTGCCACGATCGAGCATCACCACTCAGAGACAAGGGCCTCCGTCTTTGGGACTTAACTCAATGTGACGCTGCCCACGTGTTTTCTTTAACCTTTTCCACCTATTCTGCTAAGAAATATCAAGGCAAGGAAGAAAACTCGGACGTGCCTCGTCGAAAGCGGAAGGTCTTGCATCTCGTGTCCCAGTGGATCGGGCTGTACAAGGACTGGCTGTCTGAAGACGAGCCCTCTAAGATGTTCCTGAAGGTAGCACTGGGGGCTGCTGGGGGCCACCGGTGGTCACCGACCGCCTTCAAGGGTGGGAGGGCCTTTGGAATTCTTGATTTAAAGAAAAAAGGCCACACGACAGCCTTTCATTGAATGTGAATTGGGGAATCAAAGAGAGCAGGCTTTTTTGGTTTAGGTGTTGGAGGCCAAAATTTTCTGAAACAGGCGGTGATCTCCGACTAAAATCTACTTTTTTGGACTTGTTTTTTCAACAAATGATGTTGCAAGGTTTATGCCAGCTTCTCGAGAGAAGGGATTGTTCATTTTTTGTATTTGTGGACTAAAATCCCAGTTTGGGGAGGGGCAATAAAGCTCTTTGTATTACAAGGTTCTTCTCATATAAACCACAGGCCAGGTGAGTGATTAGTCAGGACTGAGCTGTCTACCCCCAAGTCTCCAATTCCATTCATTTAACAAGCATTCATTAGGCCTTGCCTGCGTGCCAGGCACCCCGTGCTGGCGATACAAACACCTTAACAGAGCCAGCCTTGCACTTAAAGAGTTTACATTTTCCCTCTTTGTGTCCACAAATCCTCCTCCTCATCAACATAGTTAACATTTATACAGCATCTACTATGTGCTGAGAGCCCTTTATAAGTTATTATCCCTATTTTACAGATGAGGACACTGAGGCAAACGGAGGTTAAGAGACTTGCCCAGGGTCACGTGGCACATTGGCTAGAACACCAGGTCTGAAATCAGGAAGACCTGGATTCAAATCCTGGCTCAGACACTTACTAGTTGTGTGACCCTGGACAAGTCACTTAAACTCTGTCTGCATCAGTTTCCTCATCTGTAAAATGGGATAATAAGAGGTTGTTGTGAGGATCGAATGAGATAATCATTGTAAAGTACTTAGCCCAATGCCTGGCGCTCCATAAATGTTTAAAAAAACTTTTAATCAAATAATTTCGACTGCCTTTCTCTGTGTGTGTGTCCAGACCATATACAGGAATGTCCTGGATGACATCTATGAATATCCAGTACTTGAGAAGGAGCTGAAAGAGTTACAGAGGATCCTTGGGATGCACCGACGTCAGTAAGTGGCCTCCGACTTTCCATTTTTACGTCCATTTTTAAATTAGTCTCAATAGACCAAGCTGGGAAATCGGGGGTTTTAAAAGGTGACAGAGGACCTAAAATCAGTCACTCTGATCCCTGAATTCCATGGGTGCCCCCGGCTTTCTGGGGTCCCGTAGCCATAATGACCCCTGTTGTCTCTTGGAATAAAGAAAAATCGAATCTGTCTAGTTTCCTGTCAAAACAGAAGTAGCAGCTGATTTAGACAAAACCAATGCTCTCCTAAACCAATCAACAAACACAAAACCAGAAGGTTTGCCTGTTTGTGGTGAGCAGACCTCTGATTTCATCCCGGAGGGAGAGACTCCCTCCGCTGGAGCAGGTGTGTAATTCATCGTCTTAGACAGATGCTTAGAGGTGACGAGTCACAAAACTTCTATGTGGAAGAGATACTTCTTCAGCCCTGGTTGTTCTGATTCCAAGGCTGACCCTTGGCTACTTCCCTAGATGTTTTTCTTTATTAAAATGAGAGTAAAGTGCTTTTTGGGGGTAAATTTAATCTAAAATTAATTTTGGTTTTGATGTGATTCAGAGATATCACTGTGGAATGAGGGAAAGGAGTTACTTCAGGATATACGTGGATTTTTTTTAAAAGATGATTTATAAATAGGTCACTGATTCTTCAAGACCCAAACTTATGGGGCCTCTAGAGACTTTATATTCAATTTAGAAAGATTTGGAAATTTAGATTTAGAATTTTCAATTTAGAAAGATTCATTTGGCAAAAATGCCCCTCATGCCTAGGTGTTCACGATTAAATAATTTGAACACCCCCCATCCCCACCCTGGTCAGCTTGGTAAATAAACAACCAATCATCATTAGATTTTCTGATACCATTATAACCCACGTGGGGATGGGGGTTGAGGCAGGGGGAATCCTGCTTTAAAATGCCGAAAGTGGGAATTCCCCTGCTGGAGCTGTGAAGACCACATCAAACTTAGATGCCCCTTAAAAAAAAAAAAAAAAGTCAGGGTAGACTCCTTGCCAGAAGGGGCTGCCTCATCTTTGTCCCAGCGCCTAGCCCACCCCCTGTCTAGCATAATAAAGCTTGTTGATTGATTGAACTGAGTCTTGCTTGACCAGCAATTTAGATCCCAGTTTAAAGCATCATTTAATTTCAATGAGATCCATCGTGGTCCAGATGAAAAGGCTACGGTGATTTCATCTGGTCAGTTCCCCGGGTCAGCGGCCCTTTCTGTTCCATTGCAGAGGCTCACTTCTCTCCCTGCCATATTCTCGGTGGGCATCCTTAGTCATTTGGAGCATGTCGGGGTCCACGGGGGCCCAAGAGTGAGCCTTGCTTCTGACAGCTTTCAGCTCCTCCTCACATGCGCTGTGTTGTTTCTAGGGTATCAAACTATCACGTAAACATGAGGAAATGGAAGGATTATGGGGCAAAATTGTTTTCTGTGTGAGCTTAATCCCAAATAATCCCTGCTTCAAATGCAGTCTGTTTTCTGGGCTTTGGGGCAGGGGGCCTGGGGCGGAGGTGGGAAGGGACAGTGGGAGAGTTATTACCAGAATTGCGAAGTTTTCATCCCTAGTGACTCCATTCTACATCTTATCACAATAGGGGGAAAGAGTACTTTAAAAATGTAAGGAAATGACCAAACAACCTGAGGAAATAGGCCTGAAATCTTAAAGGTAGAACAGCCACTATTAGGCCTAAAATCATTTTTAAAAATAAAAGCAATGATTAAATGCCATTCTAGTATCAAACATGAGTCGGCCTCAGTCACCGGGTTACCCACGGCACAGTGGAAGCAGGACCTTTGTTCCTGGCTCTGCCCTCATTCATGTCATCATACCCCACCTCAGTTTCCTCATCTGCAAAACGGGTTGGAATAGTGAACCTCCAGGGTCCCTTCTAACTTCGCAGCTGGGATTCTTTCATCTTCAGCGAGTTAGAAGTCAGCGAATGGGTTGGCTCACACACGTCCCCTGTGCTGCGGTCACAGAGGCAGGCACCTGTATCCCACAACAGGTCTGTGCCATTCTCACTTGAGGGCACGTCGGAGCGTGTGCCTGGCTCCTTGTGTCCAGCGTCTGCGCACACCAAGCAACGCAGACGACTGATTTCACGAGCTGGGTGGTGCCAACAAGTAACGAGCGCTTTGCTGGAGTGCAGTCCAGCGCGGACCGGGGGGGTCCGGCCCGGATTATCCACATCCCCGACTTCTGCTCTAAGGGGAGGGTCTAAAGGTGATGGCAGGGGCTCCCGGGGTCCTAGATCCGGTGCTGGAAGGAACTCGAGAGGTCCCCAAGCCCAACCCACCCATGTTACAGATGAGGAAACCGAGGGGAAAGTCGTGTGACCCGGCCAAAGTCACGCTGATAGGTTGTGACGGAGTAGGATTTGAACCTCGGTCCCGCTCGGACCCTGACTCCACTGTTGCGCACTGAGCCTCTTTCTTCCTGTTCTCAGTGGGAGGACAGAACTGACTGCCCAGTGTGCTGGGATGGGCTGGCATCTCTCAGCGCCAGCAGCCTGACACGGCGGGGGGTGGGATCGGGAGGGGGAGGGCGACCTCTGCCTCTGTTTCCGAACCGAGTCTGACCTTGTGCCTCCTCTTTTCAGCACTGTGGATGAATACTCTCCGCACAGAAAGGTAAGGGGCCGCTTCCTACATCAGAACTAGGAGGGTGCCCCTTAGGAGGCCCCCCCCTCTGGCCCTCCCTGGCACGCCTTCACAATTGAAAGGAAGCCTGCCCAGGGCATGACAGGACCACACTGGGGCTGCCGCAGGACTGCAGCCCCCCGCTCTCCTTTGCTCGCGTGCCAGGGCAAATCAGATGGAATCCCCATGAGCTCCACTCAGAGGGACTCTGGCCTGCTCTGGCTCTGTCTGAGTCAATGTGGGGGTGGAGTCTGACGCGCCCCCGGGCCCCTGGCCTCTCTAGAGATGAGTTGATCCGGCCTCTGGGCAAACCCACCCGGAGGGCAGCTTAACTCAAGGTTAGGAAGGAATCGTTGGATCAAGAAAGATGCTGGTGGGGTTCAGTTTGGTTGATTTTGAGGAAGGAGAGCGTCAGCCAATACATGAGGAATGCCTGCCAGCTGGCATAGATCCCTGTCTAGATGGGGGAGGGCAGAAAAAGATGCCTCCTTAACAGCTCGGTCCTAAATTTGCCCAAACTGAATCTGAAGGATGGGGGCGGGGGAGCTGGAGTGATAGAGTAGAAGGGGCCCTGCCTCTGGAGCAAGAGGGCCTGGATTCAAATCCCACCTCCGTTGCTTGCACAAGTCACTTCTCCTCCTGACTCAGTTTCCTCATCTCTAAAATGAAGAGTGGGATTAGATAATAATAATAATAACAATGATGATAATAATAGCTGGCATTTACATTTAAGGTTTGCAAAGCACTATACATACGTTAGCGCTTTTTTCCTTACAACATCCCTATGATGCAGGTGTTATAATTATCATCCCCAAGTGACAGATGAGGAAACTAAGGCTGAGACGGGTTAAATGACTTGCCCAGGGTTACCCAGCTAGTAAATGTCTGAGACAGAATTTGTACTCAGGTCTTCCTGATTCCAAGTCCCATGCACTGTCCACTGCCCAATGCAGCTGCCCAGAAGGAATTTCTCTACAGCCCCAGAGCTAGGGTCCTATGATGATGAAATAGCCCCAGTTGCCTTCTTGGAAATTTGGGGATTGGAAAATCGTGATGTCACAGTGGCCGGATGAGCCTTTGGGCTGAGGCCGAGGTAGAGAGCCCTTCAGGATATACTGGTGGATCTTTCTAGAGAAGGTTGGGGTCTGCCAGTCCCAGAGACTGCCCAGAGATGAAGCTGGGGCCCCAGTGCTCCGCCAGCCCCAACCAGCTGCTAGGCTCAGACTCTCCACCTCTGTGCTCACTGAGACAACACCCTGCTCTGAGATTAGATGGGTGGGTTTCCTATTGCAAAGGAAAGACTTGGCCGCTGGTCTTCTTGGAACGAGCTGTGCTTTTCCAAAGGACCGGGAACACTCCTTCACTGTCCTTTCCTCCTCTTCTGCAGAATAAAGCCCTTTTCCACCAATTTAGTCTTAAGGAGAATTGGCTCCAGCACCGAGGAACTGTGGGTGAAACAGAGGAAAGTGAGTAAGGGTGGGGAGAATGGGTCTGAGGGGGAGGTGGGGGGGCAGAGGGGGGGCAGAGGGGGTGGGGCGAGAGGATGGAAGGTGACCAGAACCAGCCAGCGCCTCCAAGTGCTGACAGTGAAGGCTTTGATTTCAACTCTGACCTCAATCAACTTCTTCATTTAGACATTTATCTCCTCCATGGGCTAGAGAGAAGCAAGGGCTTCTGGGAAAGTTCGGGCTTGTTTCCCTCTCTTTAGAAAGCTTCAATTCTCTAAGGTCCAGCAAGACCTTCCCAAGTTCTAAAGCCACCTCTGGCGATAGGAAGTATAGCAATCATGTTTGCAAAGCCCTTTAGAATTCACAAAGTGTTTTTGCCTTGTGAGGCAAGGATATCCACACACACACACATATATGTTTGTGTATATCCATCTATCTATCTATACACATACATATATGCATAGTATACGTATATATGTGTGTGTGTGTATATATACATACATAACCCCTCCCTCTCCGTCTCTGCCTGCCTTCTCCTCATCCCACCTCCTCTCCCTCTCACCCTGTCTACACTTATCTAAACCTCTTCTTCTTGGTGTCTTTCCTAACACCTGTTGTCCAACAATTGGTACAATGCCACAGACCAGAGCAGAGGCCAGCGGGCGTCTCGCCTTCCCCGGCCCGGCTTCCAATGCCTCCCAATGCAGACTACAATTCACTTATGAATTACAAAACACATATATGTGTTTTCCCATTTGACAGATCAGGAAACTGAGGTTCAGAGAGATTAAGTGATATTCCCAGGGTAGTATAAGTAGGAAGTGTCAGCCAGAACTTGAACCGAGGCTGGTGGTCTTTCTACCATAATCAAGCAATCAACAAGCATTAATTAAGCACTTGCTGTGTGCCACACATTGTGCCAAGTGATGGTGATACAAAGACAAAAGAGAAATGCCCCCATCCCATAAGGAGCTCTAAGAAAAACAACTGGGAAACATGAAATCGCCAACATTTACATAGCGTTGATGGCATGCCGGGCATTGCGCTAAGTCTTTTAGAATTATTATCTCCTTTGATCCTTACCACCACCCTGGATGGTGAGTACTTTTATTATCCCCTTTTACAGATGAGGAAACTGAGGCAAACAAGGTTAAGTGACTTGCCCAGAGTCATACAACTAGTAAGTGTCTGAGGCTGGATTTGAACCCGGGACTTCCTGACTCCAGGCCCAGCGCTCTGTCCGCTAGACTTGAATCCATCAGCCCAGGAGCCAGCCCCTGTTAGGTATCAGGCTCTGTGGCAGACCTTGGGATTACAAAGACAGGAGGGAAATCATTCCTGCCCTCAAGGAAGGAGTTTACATTCCAACAGGAAGACATGCACGTGCATGAATATAGACACAAGATGCTAAAAATAAATACCGGGTAATTCAGGGATCTTTGGTCCTGGAAGCTGAGAGGGCTTCAGGGAGGAGGCGGTACCTGAGCTGAGCACCAGAAGAAACAGGGTCCTCGAAGTCATGAAAGGAGTCAGACAAGAAAATCCTGGAATTAGGATAATTCTGGGGAAGGCCCAAGAGGGCAAATTTTCTGGGTGTGGCACCTCAGGGACAGCGCCAAGGGCCCTTTAGTGCCCAAGCATTATTTGTAAATGATCAAAGTGTCCCCCTCCTTCCAAATGAAATTGTGGACTCATCAGTAGGGGACAGAGGCAGGAGAGAAACTATGCCTTTTGGGGTCTTGATGATATGGATAATATTTTTTAAATTTCATTGCTTTACTTTTTATAATTAAAACCTGAAAGCAGCTGCTTTCCTGCTATTGAGACAAAGGCCAAAGCCAAGGAGACCTGAATCCAGCCTCCCTCAGGGCTCCATCTTAGCCTCGGACAGACGAGTCCTGGCTGGGGGGTCCTGGGCAGACCCTAAGCTGCAGAGAAGATGCTGCTATCCATTGTGGGGGCTCTTTCTCTGGAGCGCCCTGTGGCTGTGCTTCACAGGCCAAACACCAATATTGACGATGACAGTCATACTAAGAGTGCAATAATCATCATAAACCTCAGAGTGACTCCTCCGGCCCTTCCTTCGGGCCGGGTCATCTCCTGCTGCCCCAGGCTCGCCCATCGCCTGCTGACCACATCCCCCTCCCCGCTCTGATACTTGCAAGGACACAGCCCTGGCCCTGATGTCTTACGCTCCAATTAGATCACTTTCGGGGTTGAATGTTTAGAGTGGTCTGATGTTTCCTGGCCCCTCAGCGCTTGTACTCACTAGCCTAGTTAATGAGGTGTAAACATATCTTGTATGCATTGATTTGTGGGCTTGCTGGAAAACTCCATTTTCAAGGAGGGGATTACTGCCTTTTTCCATCGGTGCATCAGCCCCAGTAAATCCCCTGACAAGCAGGGAAACAGACACTTGTCAAGTGGTGTTATGTTAGTGATGAGGCTGACCAGGCCAGGGATCTAGAGATGTCACCGTTCTCTCCGGCCCAGGGACCGAGTGCCAGCATCTGATCCCCTGCCCAGCGGGCTGGGCTTTTCTAGCCGAGGTCCTTTGGGCTTCAGGCTTATTAGGAAAGGGACATTCTGAGGATTAGACTTGGACATTCCGAGGATTAGACTTGGACATTCCGAGAATTAGACGTTCTCTTTTTTGTTTCTTGATTCTTTGAGGTGGGTAGGACCACCTTCTGCCTCGGGAAGGCCAGAAGCAGTCCCAGGTCCCTTTGGACGGACCTCTAGTGGCCACACCTGAACAGGATCCCCTCTGGGTGATCTGGGAACAGCGTCCTCAGCAAATGGTCATCCAGTCTCTGGTTTCTAGTGGTCTGTTGTGAGGGGGAGCCCACCTCCTTGTGAGGCAACTATGTCACTTAGGCTAGCTGTAAGGGTCAGGAAGTTTTTCCCATTGCTTGTTCTTCTGCCCTCTGGGGCTAAGCAGAGCCCCCTCCCTCCTCTCTCCCCTCCCATCTGTCTCTCCCATCTCTCCTGTCTCTCCCCTCCCTCTCCATCTCTGCCTGCCCTCTCCTCATCCCACCTCCTCCCCCTCTCACCCTGTCTACACTTATCTAAACCTCTTCTTCTTGGTGTCTTTCCTAACACCTGTTGTCCAACAATTGGTACAATGCCACAGACCAGAGCAGAGGCCAGCGGGCGTCTCGCCTTCCCCGGCCCGGCTTCCAATGCCTCCCAATGCAGACTACAATTCACTTAGTTCTTTGGGGTGTTCTGTGCCACACTGAGGGGTACTTCTGAGCTTGTGGTCCCCTCAGAAGGCCTGATTCTTTCACTGGCCAGGTGAGCAGCTGGCTCCCTTATCTCCTCCTGGGGGAGCAGTAAGGAGAAGACTTTCCTAGTGACTTTCCTCTGGCTGCAGCTGGCCTCACATTCTGACCTCCAGGAGGCCCGGCCTCTACCCCCAGGGTGTCAGATTTGCTTATTTTTCCCAATTATTGATGGGAACATTAAGCAGTCCAGGCCCCAGCACAGGCAGATGGGACCTTGCCTTAGATTATCTAGGGTTCAGCCAGTTTTCAGACAAATCACCGGCCTCACATCTGTTTGGGGGACACCGCTGGTTTCTAAGGCTCACCTGGGTATCTAGGAAGGATGCCACGTGGGAATCTTACTTGTTACTCTACTGGCTAAGCCATGAAGGGAATTTACAGAGACCCATTCACCTTGCTTGCCAAGGGGCCAGAGAAGGGATTATGTGGGTTGAGAAGGAGGCTGGGCTGGGCCGGCCAGTGACCTGTTTCATTCATCATTGTCTCAGTCAGAGAGCGGGTCCAATGGAGGGGGTCTGGTGGCCACAGATACTGAGGGCTTCATTAACTCTTAGGGTGGGATTGCCAGGCTTCTGTGCGCCTCCTGACCACGTAACCAGGACTTTCCAATGAAAGGACTGGAAAAGGAAAATAATTTCTGGAGTAGGCCTTTAAATCTGACTGCCTAGAAGTTAAAATTCATCAGCCCTCTAGACACACAGTGCTTTATTTCCCTATATCATGTGTATGGCAGGCAGAGTGGTACAGTGGACAGGGAGCTATACACCAGGGTTTAAGTGTTATAGCTGACCCTGGAGAAGACCCCTAACATCTCAGTGCCCCAGGCAGCCAAGGGAAGTTTCAGAACTGCTTTGGTGGAGTGAGTTTTCACACCTGGGAGTTCCCTGTGCCAATGAAGTCATAGTTCTGATCATTGTCCCCTTCTCTGGCTTTCATATCACTGTCCCACAACCAATCTTTCTGGGCCTCAGTTTCCTCAGCTGCAAAACAAGACAGTTGGGATAGGTAACCTCTAAAGTCCCTTCGCATATTCGTCCTCTAATTTTCTAATGCATTATCTCCCTCAGCATTTTGTCTAGTTAATAGATATTTCATCAGCAGAGAAATTCAGAGTGAATAAGCAGACATAGAGATCAGCACCTTCTCTCCAACTTGGAATCTTGGAGCTGCCCAGGGTCCAGAGAGTTTGAGTGACTTTTGGCTGGGGTCACACAGCTACCGTGCTACCTGAACCCAGAACTTCAAGATGCCAAGGCCATCTCTCTGCCCATACCCCATACTGCCTCTCACTCTTATGATCCATTATACCACCACAGTAATTACATTCCCTATGGGGCAAATGATGATAACTGACATTTTTGAGCTAGCCCTTTGAAGGATACAAAGCCCTTTACAAACATCTCACGCTGACCTGATGAGGCAGATGCTGCAGGCATCATGATGTCCATTTTACTGATGAGAATACTGAGGGGAGTTAAGTGATTTGCCTAGGGTCACATGGCTAGATAGCGGTGCCCAGGGCCAGCCTCTCATTCTCCTATGAAAAGCCACTGTTTTCTGTCTGTGCGTAGACACTTTACTCCATATAGGTGTTGGCCACAAGTCACACATGACCTGGTGTTTAGATCTGAACACATCATCTCACTCCCCAAATAAACAAAGATCTGTCAGTCTCTGTATATGACTTCCTGCACCCCCCCCCCATGTCAATCTCCCCTCTCCCTAAATCCCTGTGGCTTACAGGATCAAATCTACAATCCTATGTTGTTTGGCATTCAACCCTTCATCCTCCAGTCCTCTCCTACCAGTGGATAGAGCACCAGCCCTGGATTCAGAAGGACCTGAGTTCAAATCCCACCTCAGATACATAACACTTACTACTGTGTGACCCTGGGCAAGTCACTTAACCTCATTGCCTAGCCAAAAAAAAAAAGAAGAATATTGTCTCCCCTGTTAGACTGGGAGCTCCGGGAGGGCAGGGACTGTCTTTTGCCCTTCTTTGTTTCCCCAGTACTTAGCCCAGTGCTCCTGCACATAGTAGGCACTTAATACATGCTTGTTGACTGACTATACCCACGCTGAATATATATGTGTATATATAAACACATATAGATATACATGCATTTATATTATTTATGTTATATTTCTATGTTACAGGGAGACATGGTACGGCTCAGGGCCGTGGTTTTTGGAAACTCTTGCCTGGTGCATGCTTGTCTGGGGCTTACTCACACCTTCTCCTGTTCACAGTCTTCTGCCATGTGTACATAACGGAGCACTCCTATATCAGCGTCAAGGCCGGGGTTTCCAGCACGGCTCAGGAGATCCTCAAGATTGTGGCCGGAAAGCTCCAGCACGCTCCGGATGACCTGGCCCTGGTGGCTGTCACCTTCTCAGGGGGTAAATCATTTCCTGTGCTTGAATCCTTATCGTCTCCTGCGGTCTCTCCTGCAGTAAGACGGTGGGGGACATTCTGTCGAGCGAGTGTTGGGCTGGTCCCCTCCGGGTCCCCAGCTGGATGACCATGGGAACAATGAAAGGCTGCTGCCACCCCTTGTTGCCATGGCAACAGTTAGTTCTTGGGTCCTGCTCGATGCTGAATTTTCTCCCCAAGAATGGAATACCCGGGGAAGGCACTCCAGGGTTTTGAAGTAGAGTACAAAGCTCTTCATATTTTAGACCTTAGATAAGCGCCTATATTTTCATATTTAAATTAACCTAGGAAACCACTGAAGGGTGACATTGCTTGAGGGAGGGAGGGAGAGAGAGAGAAAGAGAAACGGGGAGAGGAGACAGAGGGAGGGAGGAGGAGAGAGACAAAGAGAGAGAGAGGTGCCGCCCAATGGTTAGGAACTTTTTTTATGAAATGAAAGAAAAAAACATGGCAAACACAGGTAATAAGCATCTACGAACCATGTTGCCTCCTACGGACAATGTGAGTTGAGACGGGGCCCTGGTCCTTTCTTCTGTGGATATTTATGTAGCACCACAGAATGGCTCATTGTCTCTCTTGGATAAAATCTGTCAGATTACAAGCTGATTCTATTGATCTTGGTGACCCTCCTGGGCCTCTCCGTTTTCCCCCATGCCTGCCACAGCCCAGGGTCTCTGGCCTGCTGTTTTGCTTACAACCCTTTTTAATAGCTCATTACTCCTGGAGAGCACAAAGGATGTGCTTTAACTCTGGGAGATGCAAGAACTGACAGTGGCTGTGAGGTTATTGAAGAGGGATGAGGGCGAAAAACCCAGTCCCTAGATGGCATTGCTGTTTGCCCATTGTCATCATCCCTCTGGGGGGAGAAGGCCTCCCTGTGGATGGGAGCTTCAAAGAATTCTCAGACAGCCTAGTGAGTTTCTATTGTTTCACTGCTTAGAGGCAAATGAGTGGAGGATACAAACCAATCAAATTGCATATGCAAATTGATGCATCTAATCTTGCCCCAGCTGAGGTCAGTTGAAATTCCTGCTTTGGAAGCCTCAGTTGGCTTCCTCTCCCCACCTCACACAAGACTCAGGTTTTACCCCCATCGCCTTAAAAATGGTAGCTGGGATTTAAGTGGCTGTATTGTTTCCATTTTTATAATAGATTTCAGGCACATTTGTCATAAAGGCAAGTGTATCTCTCCAACCAGACACGTGTTAACTTCATTTTAAGTGCCTAGCGAAATTAGATGACAAATTTAAATGTGAAGTCATTCTTTACCCATCAAGGGAACAGGTCTTGTTAGAAAAGGTGATGATCACGGCAGCCCCATTTGCTTGGCTTCACGCTTTCTAGAAAGTCTCCTGAGAGGCCAGCCACTGAGGTGCTCTGAGCTTTGGGAGGCAGGTTCTCCAGCAGCAGAGAGGCCTCTGTGAATTTAGCAATTAATAAGTAGCTCTTTTATTGCCCACTATCTATATGATGCTGTGAAATGCCACTTTCATCCTCCATTAGATTAGACTCATCAGTGGTTTATAGATTTCTAATATGCATAGACACATTATGGACCATCCCTAGAAGCATCCCAAACATTGTGAGAGGTATAGTAATTGAAAATCTATTAGTGGTGCTGCCTATTAAAAATCTATTTTGCATGTAGCTCGTCCTTTTATAAGTAATGTGTCTTAATACACAAATCCAGTATTTAATGTGACCTTGATTTTAAGTGCATCATCTTAATTTCCTTTAGGGCAGTGGGGGCGTCTTCAGAATGGAGAACTGTATTTTCTCATCCCTGCCCTCCTTTCTGTCCCTTTCACTCCATTCCTTTTACTTTTTTGTCTTCTTACCCTTTCTTCCTCCCCCCATTTTATCCCCTTCCCCTCCTCTCCTTTACCCCTTCTTCTCCCCACCTCTCCTCTTTTTCCTGTCTCTCTCATTTGCCTTCCCTTTCTTTTCTCTTCTCTCTTCATTCCTTCCTCAATGTTTTTTTCCTCCCTTTTTCTTCTCTCCCTTTCCTCATCCCCTTTTTTTTACTCTCTGCACCCATTCTCCTCCCCTCCCCTCTCTTTCTCCCTTTCTCCCTTCACCCTCCCTTCTTCTCCCTCTCCGCTTTTCTATGTCTCCTTCCTCTCTCCTCCTCATCCTCGCTCTCTTGTAAGAGTGACTGGCACTGAGGCAGACAAAGGAGTCAGTCACTTTTACTCTCTTGGCCCCTTGTGTGGGCTGAATCCTGCCCTGGGGCATGACTCTCTCTGTCTCTCTCTCTCTCTCTCTCTCTGTCTCTCTCTGTCTCTCTCTCTCTCTCTCTCTCTCTCTCTCTCGCCACTCCCTTGGTCCCCTCCCCTCTGGGGAAGGGGTCCCTTTGGAATTAGTTGGTGGGTAATGGTGGATGCCTGTCCCAGTGCCAGATACTTACCTTCCCTCATTCAGAGAAACCCTTTAGATGTATTCTTTCTGCCCTGGGAAGTTGTTAAAATAAACCAGTAATTTTCTCCTTGGACTCTGAGCCCCCAGCCAGAAATCAAATTCTGGAAGATGTATCAGTTTTCAGTTTCTCTCTCCTCCTAGGTCTTTTCCATCCTCTCCCTCAAGGCCACTTTCTAGCAACAGTTTAGTGATTCCGTTGATTAATAGCTGAGCCACATTTGCTGACTTAAGAAACAAAGTGAAAATTTAAACACACAAAAGTAAACACCTCCTAAGCCCTAAGGGAAGCATCTGGTTTAAAGTGAGAGAGACAGAAACAGAGAGAGATAGGGGAAGAGGAAGAGGAAGAGGAGGAGCAGGGGAGAGGTTCACAGCTCAGTCTCCAGCCTGAATGGATTTTAGCAGAGCAGGTCCTAGCCTATGAATGTGTCATAGCAGCAAATATTTATATAGCACGTACTATGTGCCAGGCACTGTGTGCTAAGCATTTTACAATTATCATTTCATTTGATCTTCACAACAACCCTGGGAGGTAGGTGCTGTTAATATTCCCATTTTAGAGGCAAACAGAGGTTAAGTGACTTACCAGGGTCACACAAGTAGTAAGTTTCTGAGGCAGAATTTGAACTTTGGTCTTCATTTTCCTTTCAACCACTTATATACTGGTTGTTTTTTTGTTTTTTTTTACATGAGGCAATTATGATTAAGTGACTTGCCCAGAGGTCACACAGCTAGTGAGTGTTCTGTATCTGAGGCCATATTTGAACTCGGGTCCTCCTGACTCCAGGGCCAGTGCTCTATCCACTGTGCAACCTAGCTGCCCCTATGTACTGTTTGAATAACTATTTTTGCTGCTTAAAATAAAATTTTCTAGTGTAAATGTAGGTATTGGGTGTACAAAGTCCTACTTTTCCTACAGGAACAATAGAACAATTTTCAGAGATTCCCGTGGCTTTCCCTTCCCTCTGACTCCTTTCCCTGGCTTTTACTCACCGTTTTTTGACCTGGAATCTCTCTCATGAGAGATGTCTCTCACGAATGTCTCACCCGGAATCTGGGCACATTATCATAGCATTCTCCAAGGATCAGGTTCAGTTACCTTAGTCATCTATAACACAATCACTAACTTGTACATGGTGAGGGGAAGGGGGCCTCTGTACCCCTCAGTGAGGAGAAGAGCTGTCACAAACCCCTTAGTAGGAGAGGTATGGAGCAAACCCCCAGAAATGAGTGTACAAATCAGTAGTCTCCTTAGAATGGAGATGCACAGAGTTTTGGCCATTTGGGTGGTTTGTTTTTGGCCAGGAGGAGGTTGGTGATGAGGGCTGGCAGTCTGGACTTACGGAGCTTCCCACACCAAAGAAGCCCAGATTTCTAGGGCACTCGGAAGGTTAAGTGACCTGCCTGTGGTCACACACACGGTCATTCACGAACAAGCATTCATTAAGCACTTACTGTATGACAGGACTCAAACCCAGATGTTCCTAATTCCAAGACCAGGTTCGTGTGCCCTAGGCCTACCTGCCTTTCACTTAGCTGAGCCTTAATGCTTGTTGAATTGAAGTGAGCAGAGCAGAGTTATAATGTGATTGTCATACCATGTTTCCGGCTCGAGACAGACTTATTTTTAAAGGCATTTCTCTGTGAGATGCTGCTATTTATGCGTCATCTCTGCCAGTGTTGTTCATCTCCTCACAATCCTGTTTCTTTTTATTTTCTTAAAGAAAAGCATGAACTTCAACCAAATGACTTAGCCATCTCAAAATCACTTGAGCTATCAGGCCGGATCTACGTCTACCGGAAGGATCTGTCAGAGACTTTGGTAAGAATCATCAGAATTTTTGTCAAATAGAAAAGAAAGACTGAAAGGAAGGAAGGAAGGAAAATAGAAGGAAAAAAGGGAAGAAAGGGAGGGAGGGAGGGAAGGAAGGAAGGAAGTAAAGGAAGGAAGGGAAAGAAGGAAGCCTTCCTCCAAAGTACAAGGTAAAAAAAAATACAAAAAAAAAAACAAAGCACCCATAGTTCTGAAATGATTGATGATCAATCAACAAACATGCATTGAGGCACCAGCATGTGCTGGGTGCTAAGAAATGAAGCCCCAAATGAAGCAGGCCTTGTAAATATCAAAATAATAGAAATTGAGGAAAAGGCTCAAGTCTAAAGGTTCATTTCCCAGATAACCATTCCGGTTCCCATCTCAAAAGGAGACGTGATGATCTGAGAGGCGTCGACCCAATAGGGGCAGCACAGATGGAGTCTGAAGGAGGGCCCAAGAGGCCACGTACTCCCTTTTACGGATGGGGAGTCCGAGGCGCAAAAGGAAACCAGATTTGCCAAAGGTTGCCCGGGGAATAAGTGGCCGAGTTTGGACTTCAGCCCGGGTCTTCCAGTTTCAAATCTGGTGGGCTTTCCGACGTCCCACCCTCTTCTCCTACTTAAACCCTGCTCACTGTAGTCTCCCCGTATGAAGGAAGCTGAACTCTTGGGTTAAACGCTTCCCCCGGACCTGAATTCTAGTATTAATATCTGGTGAGTCTGGGGAAGTCCAGCTCAGAAAGGGACCTTACCTTGGGCAGCCTTCAGGGCAAAAGAGAGCCTGGGCCTTTAACGCAATCTAACTCACCTATACCATTGGAATTCCCAGAAGCAGCCTTAGAGAGAAGGTTTGCAACGCCCCTTCTGTTTAAAGAGGAATTGGATGAAGGCACTTCCAAAGTCAGGGAGAATTAGGATGCTGATGAAAGCCAGGCTTGGGCTTTTGTTTTCAGTTCTTGCTGAGATTCTCCCTTGACCGCTCCTGGGCTTCCTGGGATCAACACAGAGCTTCATCCTATTGGCCTCCTGGGACTGCAAGGGTTGGCCGCAGGATGGAGCCCCAGGACTTCAGCCAAATCATTTTCCTTCTCTGGGCCTCAGTTTCCTCATCTGTAAAAGGAAGGGGTTGAGTCAAATCATCTCCAAAGTCTCTTCCAATTCTAACGTTCTCCAGGTCTCAGATTTAGATTGAGTTTAATTTATTTTTTAGGTCGACACTTCAATTAGAAAGCTACAATTAGAAATTTTCTGATGGGTGCATGGGTTTAAAACTGATGCTGCCATCGTCAGAGTAAAAGCTGACTTTGACATAGCGTTATTTTGTGTATATTATCCTATTTGAACCTCCCCATGACCTTGGGAAGTAGGAACCCCAGGTCAGGACAGTGAGGGTTTGGGAAATGAGCAATGTGGTAATCCCCATTTTACAGATGAGCTGTCTACCTGCCAAAGCAATGCTCTGTCTATACCTGCCTTTGCTGCCCTGGATTCCCTTTGGGCTTAGGTACTTTGCTTCTAGAATGCATGTGTGATGTCCCTAACACAAATTAGTTCATCCTTTTGGAAAACAAAGAGTAGGGTCCTGAAGCAACGGGCCAACAGGTGAACTTTGAGGGCAGGAAAAGACCAGAAGGGGGCTACGTGTCTGAGGGAGGGCATCGTATCAGGGGACCCTGGGCAACACGAAGCATCCAGGCAAAGAAATGGAAAGGATTATAAAAGGCCAAAGACACACTCCAGCTATTTCATAATTGCGTGTGGTGGAGTCAGAATGGGTAGCGCCAAGCTGTGCTGTGGACTCAGAGGGCCCCCCGGCTCCCTTGCCCCTTTGGAAAGCTCCCTAGAGGAGATATTATGCAGCTGCTGGCTAGCCGGCCAATTCTTCAGGGAAATTTCATCTTATGCTCTGAGAAGCAGCAGCCTTGGGAATCCCCCAAGGTGTCTATGCTCTCTTGCTCCTCCAATTTTCTTGTGTTTGTTCATCACATGTCCCCCAATAGAATGTGGGAGGATTTGCATCCGCAAAGCCTAGCACACAGAATATACTTTTTAAGAAATGCCTGGGGCAGCTGGGTGGTGCAGTGGATAGAGCACCGGCCCTGGAGTCAGGAGGACCTGAGTTCAAATCCGGCCTCAGACCAAACACTTGACACATAGTAGCTGTGTGACCTTGGGCAAGTCACTTAACCCCATTGCCTCACTAAAAACAAACAAACAAACAAACAAAAAAAGAAATGCCTGAAAGCCTAGGGGCTTTAAAAACGCATAAGAAAAGTCCTACTTTGGACGCTCTCTGTTTTTACCAAAAACCATTTTTACACAAAAGAACTTTCAAAAATACTAATCATACATGAATTTCTTCATTCAGAGAGCATGTAGTAGATGACTGCTGCATACCAGGCAATGCACTAGGCACTATGGATTCAAATATAAAGAATGAATCAATGCCTGGGAGAAACTGACCCTGCTGTGTCTTGTCCCCATGTGAAAAACCAAATTGTCAATAATTGCTTAATACTTAGCTTGGCACATAGTAGGCACTTAATGAGTGTTGATTGAGTGATTGATTGATTGATGGATTCATAAGTGGGAAAGCCCAGGGAGGAAGGTCCTTCGTGGGAGAGGTGGTATTATATTAAACAGCTTTGGAAAGGGGCCACCAAAGTATCCACAGCCGGGACAGGCTAGTCAGATGTCCTCCAGTTAACTTTCTATGTCAAATTTCTGGGTGGGGCAATTATCATAGAGCTCACATTTGGGAGGGTGGGACAGAGCAGAGAGGGGAGAAGTCATTTCTGTCATCTAGAGAAAATAGATCTGACTCTGTGTCTCATGATCCCCTGTAAACATCTCAGATACACAAAACTAATTTTAGTACCAATTTTCTATGCGGTTTTGGTCTCCCCCTGCTTTACCTGTCCCAGTCCGTTGATATTTTTGTACAGTTTTCCTTGTTCATGGAAGGTAAAGAACATGAAACATATTCCATGTACAACCCACGTCCATCTTGATGCACATGGCCCACGCCGTCCCTTTTGTTGGTTTTTTCACTCTCCTCAATGGCCCACATACTCATGCAGAAAAGGAATGAGAGCCATTTCAGGGATTCTGCTTTTATTATCTTACTCCAGGGGCAGGGTCCTATAATCAGATTTTATATTGTGTGTGAGAGAGGGGCTAATTCAATCAGAAGTCATTGATCGCAGACTCTGGTTTCTGAACCTGTTTCCCAAATAGGTTGTAACTCGCAGAAGGAGAACAGACAGGAAGAAAAATTAAGTGCACTCATTGAAGATTATTGTCAGGGCCTCTGTAGAGTAACTAATTTAGTGAGAAACATTTGGGAGTTGCTCAAAATCCCTTTGCTTCTGCCCATCAATTTAGAGCCCACTGGTCGAGAGCGAGGAATCCCAGCAAAGGTCGCTGAGGATCTTGGGAATGAATACATGGGACCTGGCCATGGAATTAATGAACTTTGATTGGAGCCTGTTCAACTCGATTCATGAAGTAAGCCGTGGGGGAAAGGATGGTTGGTGGGAGATATCTTTCAGAGAGCCTGCAGTTCAGTGTGGCTCCTGGGGAAGGATCTCCAAGGAGCCCATCATGTAGTGGGGACAGAATAGGTATTTTTTGAATGGAATTGAAAACAGAAGCAGTGTAGAGTGCTAGAAGAGTTGGGAGGGACCTTTGGTGTCATCCAGTTCAGTCCTCATCTGAAACATTCTCAATATTATTCAACAAATACTCATCGGGTATCTACTCTATGTCTGATGCTATGTGAGGCACTGGACATACAGAGACGAAGCAAAAAGCAGGCTCCTGCCCTTTAGGTGCTTATATTGTACTAGAGTGAAGCAAGCTGTACCCAGTAAATTTTGAGAGAGAGGAAAGGTAGGTGTACGAGATGGCCCCTCGATTGTGCTTTGAAGGAAGTCAGGTGTGCTAAGAGACCACCATGATTGTCCAGCACACCAGGAGCAGGGGACGCTTGGATCAAGTCAAGGGGACAGCAGAAGGGATTCTGTGTAGGGTAAATAGCCATTTTGCCTGAAAGGGAGAGTGCAGGAAGAAACGTGATGTGAACTAACATTTGTATTGTTCTTGTTGAAGTTTTCAATCAAGTTTCATCATCAATTTTCCATCACCCCCTCTACGTTCTCCTCAGGAGTCATCCCTTCATTCTCAAGGAGGAGCATTTCTTCTTCCTCTGTGAACATCTCCATTTCCCCCTCTGTATCCCCTAAGGACCCTCCCAGTTACAGGCCTCTGATTCTGTGACCTTCAGGTTGAGGAAGGCACTTAGTGACTGACAGCAAGACCCTCAAATGCCATAGCGATGACCCACCCTCTAAAAAAAGGAAAAGAAAAGGGAGCCAGCCTTTACAAGCCTGTTCTGTCCCCACAGCAAGAGCTGATTTACTTCACGTTCAGCCGACAAGGCAGCAGCGAGAACACAGTGAACCTCAGTCTCCTGCTCCAGAGATGCAACGAAGTCCAGCTGTGGGTGGCCACGGAGATCCTGCTCTGCAGCCAGCTCTGTAAGCGAGTTCAGCTGGTGAAAAAATTCATCAAAATTGCTGCTCAGTAAGTGTGAGCCCTGGGGGCACATGGTGGACAGGGGACCCGGGGCTGGGGGCGAGATTTTGGGATGGACCCCAAGAGTCCTATATCTAGAGTGTGAAGAGCTCTTCATGTTACATATGGGGAAACTGAGGCTGGAAGAGAGCGAGTGACTTGTAGAGGGTCCCCAGCCAGGAAGTGACAAAGCTGGGGTGTGAACCCCATTTTTTTGGCTAGCGCTCTCTTTCTAAGCCACACTGACCTCACTGTAGACTTGTAAAGGATCCTTTACCTTGTGGAGAGTGTAGGCACTGTCTCCAACAATGCAGATTGACCAGTCAATCAAAAGACATTCATTAAGCACCTTCTAGGAATCAGGTCCTGCGCTAGGGTGCTAATGAGTTTGGGACTTAGCATTTTTTAAAAATCTGAAACATTTACATGTTGCAGTTAGGGCTGGAGAAACCCATAGGGTTTAGGGGACTGAACCCATAAGGTTGCTATGAGGATCCACTGGGATGACATCTGATAAGCATTTACTATGCTGTCCTCTTCCTCCTCTTCCTCCTCCAGCGCTCGGATCAGTCCCCACCATGCTTCAGTGGCCATGGGGAAGGCTGTGCCTTTCATCAACCCCTCATATGGGGCCCACCTCCACCCCAACCTCCCAACCAGCCTTTCCCACACAATGCAATGAAAGGTTTAGGGCTAGCCCTTGTTCAGCTACCCTCCGATCCTTCCACTGATGCTGTTAGATTTTGAATCCCGGCAGTGCACAAAAGCAGTCAGGAGAGTGCAGCTGCAGCCACTGCCCAGGGGAAATGGAGCTTATCTTTGGGATTTCTGCTCCCCTAGACCCCCCTGGGCCCCCGGCCTGCCCAGAGTCCTCCCGTACGTGTCTCCGCTTAGAATCTTTTACCAACATGAGACGTTTTCTTAAGTAGATATTATTGTGCCAGCCTCCATCTGTGCCTCTGCTAATACTGTCGATGCAAAATGTGGCCTGAGACATCCCTGGTTGTCTTAGCCCTTTTGCTTGAATAATTTGCTGAAATTTGTCAAGGGATGAGATCATTAGTAGAAAGGGACAGTCAATCTCAGGGCCACCTAGCTCCGACCCCAGGGTAAGTATATCCCTTCCTTGATGGCAGTGATACTAAAATATCTCTTCTCCCTCTGGCCCCTTCCTCTTGTGCTAGTGAGAGAGGCTGTATCCCTTGGAATGCAAATAGAAATGCAGCCTTAATTTCCTTATTATTATTCCAGTTGGAATGACCAAGGGAAATTAGTCATTTACACAAAGAAACATACTCTCCTTGCTCATTGACATCCTATTTGCATATTCCTGCTCATAGCAAATGAGCTCTTAGCCCCACCTTCTCCCTAACCTCTCCTTCCCCAACTCTGTGGGATAAGGTGACTTAGTTTCCTCAAAAAGTCTGGCTGCTCCAGTGGGGAATTTGCTGTGTAGCAACCTACGGTGAGGGCCAGTGGTTGAACTTGATTTCGCCACCACCACAGTCTTTCAGACTTCCATTATTATCCTTCCCTGGAACCAGAGGGAGAGGCTATGTGGTGAGGTGGATTGGGTGCCGGAGTGGAAGTCAGGAAGACCCAGGTTCAGATCCCACCTTGGCCACTTACTAGCTCTGTGACCCTGGGAAAGAAGTCCCTTAACCTAGCTAAGCCTCAGTTTCTCCACCTGTAAAACGGGGGATAATAGCACCTACCTCACAGGGTTGGGGTGAGATTCAGATGAGAGAGCATTTCACAGACTTTTCAGCGCTCCGTAAAAGTTGTGGGAGGGTGGGTGAAGTGGAATTAGAGGCACTTGAGTAGGGTCTGAAGTGGCAGGGTTTTTAAACCTGGCTGGTGGGAGGGTTTCCCTCTTTGGAAAGGCAGCTTCAGTCTTGTGTGCTCTCTCTCTTTGGGGGGATTGGTGAAGAAGCAGCCTCATTCTGATATACAGGAGGTTCATGGAAGAGGTCAATATTATTGCTCCGTCTATGATTGACTCAACAGATTGATAGAATTTTAAGATGTACACAAGGGAAGTCTAATCAACAGGCACTCATTAAATGCCTACTATGTGCTGAATGCTGGGGATACAAAAAAAGAGGCAAAAACAGTTCCTGCCCTCAAGAAGTTCATGTTCTAAGGGGGGTAACAACACATAGACAGCTCTGTAAAAACAAGATATAGACCAGATGAATAGGAAGTAGTCAACAGAGGGCTCCGTGGATGGGAGCTGACATGTCATTGCTAGAACTGGAAAGGATGCGTGACCTTGTGGAGAATGTGGGCACGGTCTCCACCGTGCAGATCGACTAGTTAATCAGCAGATAGTCATTTAGCACCTTTGAGGAGTCAGGTCCTGGGCTAGGGTGCTAAAGATGCCAAGTCAAGACCATAGCCCATCCATCCCATTGCGTTCTCATCCTGTGAAACTCTTGGGAATGTTCTTATAACATTATAAATTTACTTTGCTTTTAAAAAAAAAAGGAATTCAGCATATTCAGTCAATTTAAAGTGCAAGATGATTCTATATATTTTCTGGGAAAAGAAAAAGAGAGAACTACCAAGTAATTGAATATTTTCTGAGTAACAATCTATGAACACTTAAAAATATGATGTAACAAAAAGCCAGGACTCTCATATTTCATTGGGAAGATACTAGAAGGAGGGAGTCGAAAAGGGAATGTGAAAGTGAAAGCCCTTGGATGAGAAGCTTTGGGATGTTAGGGAATGGTGCTGGATTTGGAGTTCAAGGACCTGTTCTAATCACTTCTCTGTTATGTACATATATAAGCCACTGAGCCAATCATTTTGTATCTCTGGGACACACTTTTCTGATCTGTACAATGATACTTCGTGGTTCCTTCCAAGGTGAGATCAGGGTAGCTCAGTAGTGCAGTGCATGGCATTCTGGGCTAGGAGTGTCAGGAAGATTTAAGTTCAGATGTGGTCACAGACACTTATTAATTGTGTGACCCTGGCTGGGCAAGTCACTTCACCTCTGTTTGCCTCAGTTTCCTCTTCTGTAAAATCAAGGTAATTAATAACACCTACCTCCCAGGGTTGTTGTAAAGATCAAATGAGATAATATTTATAAAGCACTTTGCAAACCTCAAAGTGCTATTATAAACACTGTTGTTCTTCTTAATCTATGACTCAAGGAGTATGGGAAACATGTCAGGTTGGAGCTGATGTAAAGCACCTGGGAGACACTAACTTATGACTTTATTTACTCATCCTGGGGATGGGGCTAAGCCTGAAGGAGAGATAAAGAAAGGATGTTGGGGTAGAGGAATTACGCCAGAGAAAAGGCAGCGGTGGGTAAGCTGCTTAGTTGGTCACTCAATTCAGGAACAGGGGGCTCAGACTCCCTTGGAGAAACCCCAGAAAGAGATATCACTAATTGCCCAGGGACTGGAATTTTGCCCCCAGGGTGGCAGATTTAGAGAGCCCCTGACAGCACCTAGGGCAGATAATGAACAATAGAATATTTAGCATCTGATTAACAGGAATCATTCTTTAAACTAGGAATACACTTGATGGTGGATGGGGGTGAGTTGCTCCCCCCACCCCCGGCAGTCTTCCCAGTCACGGTCTCATGCCAGTGATGTTCTAGAGTCGCCCTCTCTACCGTGGGATGCCATCCCCCTGGTCCTATTCACCTGCCCCTCTCCCTAGTCTCCTCACTCTCTCCTCATGCTAGCCACTGTTTTTACTGCTAATAGATTAATCTTGTCCAGACTCAGATCTGATCATGCCAGTTCTCTGCTGAAAATCCTTCAACAACTCCCCATCACCTCTGTTAACATTCAAGCCACTCAGCTCGGCATTCAGGGCACAAATTAGTGCTTCCTTACTTTTCCAGCTTTGTTTCATGCCCTTTCTCCTCCCTAGTCTCTCCTTCAGTCACATTGAACTATTCACCATCCCCTCCATATACCTCACACTTTCCCATCTCTGGGCTGTAGTTCACCCCATTCCTTATACTTAAAATAGCTGTTCACTCATCCCAGGCATCTTTTAAGGCCCACTTCAAATGCCACCTCTTCCATGAAGTCTTCCCTGATCTGCCCCCTACTTTTGGAACTCAAATAGCACTTGGTTTGTACCTCTTTCCAATCCACTTGTCATATATCGTTTTGTAGCACAATTGTTGACTCATATGCCTTAAACATCCTAGATTACAAGCTCTGTGGGGGCAAGGGATGATTTCATCTTTCTATGTTATCCAGCACAGAGCAGGTCCCCAACAAAGGCTTGTTGAAATAAGTCAGTATTTCTTCTTTAAGAGTTTGAATTAGAAGCATTGCTTTATGAATAGCATTTCCATAGCTGTCCATTATAAATATTCATATTATTATGGCTCTACCCTGGAGCTATTTTGATGGAGACAAATGGAATATAGGTTTATAAGGGAAAATAAGTTGCAGATGAGCTGTGTGGGGTGATGGGATCTTTACTGGAAAAAAATGAAAACAAGGGGTTGATTCATGAACCCTTAGAATGAGAACAAGCAGCTGGGGTGAATGTTCTAAGCAGAGTTTGTAGGACAAGTGATAAAGGCAGATGAAAAGCATGATGCCTTCTGTCACATTTCTAAAGAAAGGGGGAGGGGAGGGGGATAATGTAAATTGGCCCGAGGGTGCTTAGAAGGCCCCATATTTCTAAAGGGGATTATCTGGGGAAATATTGGGAAATATTCTTCTCATAATTCACATGCTTGTTAGCCATATGACCATGGTCAGGGTCAAAGGGGAATAATAGCATGTCTATTAACCTTTACCTTATGGGGATGGTACAAGAAAGAACTTTACAAACTTTTAAAGATATGAACATTAATTGTGGCAACCGTCTACTATTATCACTAGCAATGTGAGTGAGTGAGAAAGTTCTCTGGGAGTATTTGAAGTGGTCCCTAGCTTTCCACTGCAGTGGTCAGGAGTGGTCGCCCTGGGGAGGACCCCTCAGCTCTCCACGCTTGACCTCAGGGGCCAAGGAGATCCTTTTCACCTTTTCTCTTCTGGGATTATCTAAAGAATGGACATTGACCTCAAAGTGACATTGGTTTCCTTTTATTCCAACAGCTGCAAAGCCCAAAGAAACCTGAATTCTTTCTTTGCCATTGTAATGGGTCTCAACACTGCATCAGTCAGCCGGCTGTCTCAGACCTGGGAGGTAAGCAGCCGAGATCAGAGAACCATTGGTGGGGTTGCTTTAACCAGAGTGGGAAGGGCTTCTGTGAAAAGACTGCCTTTGGAAAGACTGGATTGAAACACTTTTAAAAAGTGGATATATTCTATTTTTTAAAACCTAAGTAAATGTACTGAGTTCTGAGGAACTGTATTAAAATATGAGAAACAATTCCGTTTATTGAAAAGGAGAGCATAACAATTTGAAGACTGTTTAGGAAAGAAGGGGAATTGAAGGATGAGAAGCCTTAGGTAGGATCTGTTCTGTTGGGATTAATATTTTGGTTCTGGTTATTTCTGTTTTAATGAATGACAAATGCCACAGCATTAACTGTGACCTTATTACATCGATTAATGATCCCCAAAGCCAGGAACTAATGTATAGATATCACCCAGGAAGCAATAGTCAAAGAAATATGAATCTGTAATAAAGAAAATAATGAAATGTCCAGAAAAATCTTGTGTTCAAATAATTCTAGTGTCTTTGAGTAGTTAGGGACTAAAACTGTGCGACCTTCCCGGGGAAGGAAACTCCCTTTACTAATGCAGATTAGCTAGCACCTGCTCTACAACCCAGAGGCTTGACTAAAGATCAGTGAGATGTTGAGGCGTTTGCTTAGGGGCATTTGGCCAGTATGTGCCAGAAAAGGACTTCAGTCTATGTCTTCCTAGTTTCAAGACTAGCTCTCATTTCCTTCCCTATCCCAACCTCACACAGTCTAGTGAATGTACTACCAGTGCCTCATATAATCCTGGCATCTCCAAGTCAGAAGAAAAAAGAAAAAGTCAAAGAAATTCTCCAAGAGTTGAGGAGGGAGTAGTGACTTCCTTGGAACTGATGAGATATTCACAGTTCTACAGAAGCAGGATCACATAGTGGGAGCTGAATTTGGACCCAGGAAGACCTGAATTCAAATTCCACCTTTGATACCTGCTAGCTGTGTGACCCTGGGCAAGTTGGTTAATCTTTATGAGCCACGGATAACTGTCTAAGGCTGCCTACTAAGTCATAGATGGTTTATGTGAAATTGTAGGTGCTTGGTGTATTGAAATATGCAAGCATTGCCATCATTTTCTTCCCTATGTCCAAACGGTATTATCTGGCAGATAGGGAAGGAAAGAGTTGGAAGCTATCATGAGATCATAGACTTTGACAGGTGAAAGAGATGGCAGCAACCATTATGATCCAATGCATACACAAAAAGAAATCCTCACTCTAGTATACCCAACAAGTGACCATCCAGCCTTGCTTGGAGACCTCCAAGGGTGGGGAGCTCACCCCCTCCTGAGGCAGCGCATTCCACCCTTACACAGCTTCACTTGTTAGCAAGTTTTTTCTAGGCATTGAGCCTCAGTTGGCCTGTGGCAACTTCAGCCCATTGTTCCTGGCTCTGCCCCCTGGCACCAAACAGAGCCAGCCTAATCCCCTTTCCATGAGATGGTACTTCAGGTACTCTCATATCTCCACTAACACTATTAGGGAGGATAACCTGTTGAGTCACGGGTAGTCATACACCAGAGGCATTCCAATTCTCACAACTAGAAAGCACCTGGAATTTTAAAGCTGTCTTTGTATCTGTTCCTGGCACCTAGGACAGCACCTTTTGATTCATAGTGGGCACCTAATAAATGCTGGTTGAATGAGAAAGGCTTTGAGTAAAGACTGGGTAATGACCTGTATGTTGCCATCCTAAGGACCAGCCCAACTCAGTTCTAAGAGGCACATTTCCAGGATGGCCACAAGGAGACAAATTTTTCAGACGTAGCAACTCTCAAAAACAATATACTTGGTCATAGAGTTTGTGATCTGACACTGCGAAGGTCCAGGCAACCCCACACCTACAAAATTATGATTTTTGTAAGGTAATATAGCTTTACTCCCCTCCCAGGAGGGCCTGCTTATTTGTGAGCAGGTCCAAGCCACACAGTAGAACGTTCCACAGGGTGCCCCCTGGGCTCTCTTGTGGACTAGTTAGAACTTGTCTTTTGGCTTGGTAACCTTCTGGGCCACCTGTTGAAATGCCTGTATATTCAAACTCAGAGACCTGCCCCAGGCTTCCTCCAACCAAGTAGGCCTGAGCACATAATTTTTTGACACTTTCACTCACTGCCTTGAAAGCTAATTAGGCCATTTACCTAGAAGATGTCAGCCTACATTATTATTTCAAGCTCGACATTACTATTAAAGACAAATAGAGAATACATCAAAGTTAGGGGATGGAATTGAAACCCAAGAAGTTTTCGTTAAGGAATCATCATGTAGAATGTCTAATGAGGCTAGATAGGTTTCATAATGAGTGGCCACTATACCCTGCAATACTCAGCGATATTTGTCAGGGCTATCTTGCTAAGAACACGAGGAAGAAGTGATGAGACCCAACCAGGACACAGTTCACCAAGAGTTTTTATGTTCTGAAACTGAACACAGAAGAACAAAACTTGACAAAAATTCTCCTTTGCATCCCTTGACTTATTTACCCTTTGTCCTCTGGTTTGTTTTCTTCCAGAAAATCCCTGGGAAGTTTAAGAAGCTTTTCTCTGAGTTGGAGAGTTTAACAGTAAGTAGTCCCATCTGATCGATATCTTGAAGTTCTTTCTGCATTTTGGCCATTTCCTTTGCTCTCCATGGTGTGAAATGCTCCGGGAGTTATGTGCTTGTTTTAGAAGCAGCTTATGGTTTGAAGGGAGATGGTGTCAGAGATGGAGTATGTCCATTCCTTGTGGAAAGGTGTGGGGATGGCTTTGGGGGATGATTTTCAGAAGAAATATTTGAAGTCATCCCCCAAAGCTCCCTTTAAATGTGAAACAGTATGAAAGAGGAAAACGAATAGATCCCTTGCCCTCAGCTCTTTCCCATTTTTAGAATTATTTGAGGAGTGTTACAGTGTTATTTAGAGAGTGTTTTTAGAGAACATCAGTGGGGCTCTATTGTTTCTCTGAAGTCTCTGTGCATCATTTAGGATGTGGATGGAGGTGAATTTTTCTTGGAAGATGTAATAACAGTAGGGGAACCTCATGATGGAAATTATGCTGAAAAAAGGAAACAGGATAGAATCCATGTAGGCAGAGACCCAGCCAGGGAGGAGGGTGGCTGGGGGTTTTCCTTAGGGTGGGAATTTCAAGGGCCCCAACAACCCTCTCCTACAGCCTCTTCTTCCTCTATGATCACACTGTCCTCATGATGGCAGTAATGGTATCCACATTCTGGGAACGCTTTCTTCAATGCCAAGCCTGCCCCTCTACGGCAGAAGCTTCAGTGGCTTTATCCAAGGGCTGGACACTTCCTCTTCTACACCTACCCACCCAGCCCTGATGACACACGAGATGAGCCTCCCCACCCACCTGTTCACCTCCAACCTGCCCCAGGGATTTCTGGTTTCAGTTCTGCATATGAGGCCAGTCTAAGAGCATTCCAAGGGTAGACCTTCCAAAGTCATTTCCCATTCACAAGAAGCAACAGTATGGGTTCTGTTGACTGTTTGGGCCGTTGATTCTCTTTAAAAAATTGACAACCTTCTCCATCCTGAGAAATGGAGCTCTTCATAGCTAAACCACCTTCATGTTGTGAGGCTCATAAGGTGGATTTCAAATATGTGTAGTTCATTCGTTTTCTCTTTGTTTTCTCCTTGGTTCTGTAGGACCCTTCCCTGAATCACAAAGCCTACAGGGATGCATTCAAAAAGATGAAGCCTCCCAAAATCCCCTTCATGCCTCTCCTGCTCAAAGGTAAACCTTCTCTGCTATTCATGGGTGGCAATTCCATCTTTTCACTAGATCTGCAGCCTGGCAGAGAGGGGACCAGCTTGGAACTGGGAGGATCTGAGTCTGGTCTCTGGCATTTCCTGTCCAGGTGACCTGAACAAGTCACTTTCAGTGCCCAGAGAATCCCTTCCAGGCTAGAAATCACACATAAGGGCTGGACTTGGAGTGAGGGAAGAGCTGAATTTGAATTCAGGGTCTGATACCTACCAACTGTTTGCAGACAGGCAAGTCACTTGACCTCTTGAAACCTCAGTTTCCTCATCTGTAAAATGGGGATAATGTCAATGTCTTTAACTTGCACGTGGACCGAGAGGGCTGAGATTTTGGAAAACTAATTGTTTGCTCTTGGAAAAGAATAGTGGCCAACTGTCTTCTGATATGTCAAAATGCATTAATTGTCCTGGGAAGGAAATCGCCAGGTGTGAGCTTTTTTATAACTTACAGAGGGCAGCTAGGTGTTGCAGTGAGTAGACAGAGCACCATCCAGGCCTGGATTCAGGCAGACCTGAGTTCGGATCTGGCCTCAGACACTTACTAGTTGTGTGACCCTGAGCAAGTCACTTAAACCTGTTTGCCTCAGTTTCCTTATCTTGTAACATGAACTGGAGAAGGAAATGACAAGCCACTCGAGCATTTCTGCCAAGAAAAAGTCCCAACGAGTTGGACACAACTGAAAAATGACTGAACAGCAGCTAGAGAATGTGGGACTGGTAAGGTTTATGTTGTCTTGTGATTTGGCTCGTTTCTAAGATCTTAGGATCCAAGGAGGATATATTTGGGGTAGGAAAGGGGTTTAAAGTTCATTCTGTCCTTTCATTGTCCAGTTGAGTAAACCTCCAGTCATAGATGTAAAGGGGGGTACCCCAGGTTACACAGCAGGAAAGCAGCCAGACTAGCCCTTGGCACCAGAGAACTCTGCTTTGAAAGTCATCACTCTATGAGGCCACAGCCACCACAGAACGTGCTTCCATTAAAGCCTGGTGCACACTAGCATCTTCCATCAGGAAGCCCAAGAAGAAACACTAGAATAAAAGAAGCAACCCATGGTCACCTCCTCACTCTGAAGGTGCTGGCCATAATCTGCCAGCGCTTTCCCCATGTGTCTTTTTGGTTGTTTGGAGAAGCAATAGAGCGCATGGGAACATGGGGAAAAGACAAGCTTTCTGCTTGCTGAGGGAGGGTCCGTTTGAGGAGATATTTGTAGGTGCAGAGATGCCCGTGGGGGAGGGACAAGAGGAAGCCTGCGGATTTGGCTGTCCTTGGGGAGAGCGGCTCCAGTGGAGTGATAAGGTCGTACCCAGATTGCAGGGGGATGAGAAGTGAGTGGGTGGGAAGGAAGCACTCCCTCGCTCCCTAACTTTAGTAAGCTGGCAGCTCCTGCGGCTCTGGCCTTGGCACAGTCTCCTCAAGCCATCTTCCACACCCCTGCTACCTCTCGTTCATGTCCTCCCTCCCTGGGTCTGTCGGAGTGGCCTCCTGCCTCATCCCCCTGGCTCCACTCTGTCCCGTGCCCAGTTCTTCCTTCATGCTGCTGCCTGTGAATTCTTACCCATCTGCCTCCCAGTCATGGTGCCCCTCTGGTCAGACACTTTAAGTGGGTCCCATTACCTGGCATTCAAGGCCTTTCCCCATCTGGTTCTAGCTCACTTTTCCATTCCTTGCCCCACCGCATCCCCTTTTCTGCCCTTTCCTGCCTCCATACCTTTGTTCATGCCACCATCCCCATAATTAAAGTAGACTCTTCATCCCCCAACCTGCCAGTCTCTGCCCAGTAAAATTCTTTCCTTCCTTCAAGGACCAACTGAGATACACAACAACCCTGTTCTCTCCTGAAATTTCCCAGCAGAATCCCCTCCTTTGCCCTGGTCGCATCATGTCGTGGGTGTTTGTGGCCTGTGTTAGCTCACCTAATGGGGTCCCGTTGGTTGTCCTGTCTCCTTTTTCACTGACAACGGAGACTCCCTTCCCTACCTGAGCCTGAGGAGAGCTCAGGGAGCCCTAGGAGTAGGAGCTGACAGATTCCTACCAACACTGATTTAGGACCTTCATGACGTACAGAAGGCTAAGCTGTGTGAAATGGGTACAGGGCAGTACGGACATTTAGCCAAGCAGATCCCAGCATGTTCAAGGTAAAAAAAAATTTAAAAAAAGTTTTGTTGACCTGAAATGGAGCCGAGAAAGAGATGCCATCTGAGCCATTCAACCTCAAATCTCATTTTGCTAAAGTTCATTTGATTCTTCAAGTGTTTTATTTTTAAGCTCCCATCATTCAGGGTTATGATTTTTATTTACTAACCCAAAGGCAAGAACCATAGGCAGCCCTGCAGTCACTGAGCTTTCATGTGGACAAGAGGGGAGGGGGGGCAGAGAAGGAGTAGGAACGCATCTGGGAATGAAACAGATTTGAGTCTGAAAGGTTTTATTGGAAGCAATAAATAATTTTTAAAGTTACAAGAAAGCCCTTGACAGCCTCTTTTTAAACTCAACTCAAATGAAGCTCAGCTCCCCACTGCACATGTGGACCCTTTGAAAAACTAAGCTGGTTGGATTTCCATCCCCCCCCTCCAAATACTTAATAAAATTTGGTGTGTCACCCTTATATCTGAGCACGGATGCAATTTTCTGCTCCACTGGGTTTATCTATGCTTTGTCGTTGGCAGCAAAGCAGATTTCTAATTTTTCCCCCACAAATATCTGCCTTCATCTTAAAGGAATGAGCAGAGAGTGAATGTTCTATTTGGTTTTTAATTAGATGCCTTCTCTAGTTTTAAATCGGCATTTTGCGGTATTGTTCCTTTATCTTGATTTGTTTCTGTCAGTTTGACAACAAACCTGGGCAGGCACAAATCTTTGGTCCCAGTCCCCCTGCCCCCATTTGAGAGCTGCTAACACTGGCATCTAAAATAATTTAGAAAAGGACGACAGGTTAGCATGAAACGTGACACAGAATTTCTCATGCCTGCAGGGACGTCATTCAGTGAAAACAAGTATGGCCTGAAATTAAATCTTTCAATCAAAGTTGAAAACATTTTTTTTCTGGTGAGTTAGGCAGGATCCTTCCTCCCTCTCCCCGCTTCTCTCTTTCCCCTATTCTCTCTAATCCCTCTGTTCTTTTCTTTGTCTTCTCTGTTTCTGGGTCCGTGTTTCTTGAAATTTATCAACTGTAATTTGTAATTGGTGCCTAGTTCCTCGAGAATGTTTTTAATTAGGAAAGCATGCTCACTGGTTTGATGGAATTGGATTACTTGGGCTTATTGGAATGACTCTTTTGAGTGACAGCTTTCAATCAACAATCCTTCAACAAATGGTTTCTTATCTTTGGGGCTCTTACTTTGTCTAAACCTGGGATTTCATCCGTCTCCATGGTTCCCTGGTGAGCAAACTTCCTTTCCCAATATAGATCAACAATTCTCCAGCACTGTACAGTCTTAGAAAGTTGCCTGGGATGCAGACGAGTTCAATGACTGGCCTGTAGTTCCCAAACACTTGGACCGAAGAGGTCCAGTCGCTAACTGCTGCTCTCTGCTTGTTATGCATTCGATCATGTCTGACTCCCTGTGACCCTGTGGACACCAATACTGTCCATAGGTTCTTCTTGGCAAAGATACTGGAATGGTTTGCCAGTTCCTTCTCCATCATTTGACAGATGAGGAAACTGAGGCAAACAGGGTTAAGTGACTTGCCCAGGGTCACACAGCTAGTGTCTGAGGCCAGATTTGAACTCAAGTCTTTGTGACTTTAGGCCTAGCACTCTACCCACTGAGCCATCCAGCTGCTTTCTACTCTATGCTACCTTATATTATTTTAATTATTATCAATTATCCTCTTGTACTCATGATGTCTCATAGGCATCTCAAACTTAACATATCCAAAACAGAACTCATTATCCACCACACACACAGATACCCCAAATCCATCCCTCCTACAAAGTCCGCTATTTCGACTGAGAGAACCATTATACTTTCAATCCTCCACTTTTACTGGGAGGTAGGAATCATCTTAGGTTTTCCCCCTCATTCTTCATGTCACTGCTTCTAATCCCAATGACATCTCTCCCACCCAGACTCTACTCTTGCATGGTCTCCTCTCCAGGCCCTCATCACCTCTCATCTGGACCATTCCAATAGTTTCTTCTTTGCTATCCAGGCACCTTGTATCTTCTCCAATTCATTCTCTGCACACCTGCCAAACTAATATTTCTGAAATAACCACCTGCTCATATCACTCACTTCTAGTTAAAAAATCTTTAGGGTTGACTAATTTTTTTTAAAAAAATTATTGTCTGGCATTTAAAGCCCTCAATAGTATGGCCCTCACTTACCTTCCCAGTCTAATTTCATATTACTCATCTTCCTGGCACATTTTGCTGCCTACGAGAGGGGGGAGTGGTATACGCAGGAAGGATAATGGGGGACACGTTTTAATACTCTCTTTGACAAATACCAGTAGTTTTAATGCTAGGACATGGAATTCCCTTTGGCACATAAATACATATTTTGTGATAAGTCAAGTCCCTGGTTCACAGTGAGGTCTCAAAGCCTCAAAGCTGGGGTGGAAGACCCGTTGCAGAAAAGAGGGGCAAGGCAGATGGAAATGGTCATGTAGACAAAAACAGAAGGTCAGATCTGGAATCAAGAACTAGGTTTGCGCCCTGGCTCTTCCATTTACTTGGCAGAAGTGAATTCACCTTTTTGGACCTCAGTTTTCTCATCTGTAAGAAATGGGGATTAGACCAGACTATTTCTGAGGTCCCTCCTCACCTCTATCATCCTCTGAGCCTACGGGAGTACTGCCTACTCAAGCCAACAAGCCACAATGAAAGGAAACAGGTTATTCACAGAGAATCCTGTTTGTCTATAGAATGCCACCCAAGACAACGAGGCGATACAAATGCTTCTATAAATGCTGCTTTGTTTCAGTGTCTTTCATCCCTGGTGGGAGCTAGAACGGGTGAGTTCAGCAGAATGTAATGAGTAGACGGTATATATCTGACAGGCCATCCAGCAAGCGATGCCTTTATCCCAACACCACGTTTACAAGCCTCATTTTTGTGCATGGTGCTCTGCGCTCACTGGGAGAGAGAGGTAGACCTTTAGTCCTTGCCAAGGGTACAAAACGCCTCGCCTCAGCGCAGGGGCTGCTCCATTCTCAACAAAGAAAATAAGTTGCAACACAGTCCCAGTGTATTTTAAGAGATGCACTTTCATCTCCGTATGGAAGAGCGAGTCTGCTCCATTGTCTTGACCAGAAATTTCATAGTTCAGTCCTCTTATAAGATAAAGTTAGTAGAAATAATGATCTGGAAGAATCAGAGGAAACGGGTTCAAATCTGTCTCTTACACCTTATAACAACGTGACCCCTAGGCAAGCCACAACCTCTCTGAGCCTCAGTTTCCTCATCTATAAAATGGGAACAATAATAATAGCACCTAAGTCCCAGGGTTGCTGTGAGGATCAAATGAACTCTTGTGTGTAAGATGATTTGTAAGCCTAAACTCAGAAGCACAATACACAAGAGCTTGGATTTTAACTACTAAATAATTGTGACATCTAGATAAAATCCAACCACTAAATATCAATAGGAAGTATGTACTTATCCTGGTGGGATGGGTTTTTACTGATAGTGTTAGGTGGATACAAAGAGGTTGAATGACTTCACTCAAGAGTATTCCTTCACGGTTCAATGTTACTTTGGAAGGTCTGTAGTAGAGTGCCCCAAGGATCTGTGCTTTACTCTTTGGCATTCATTTTTTTTGGACAGATGCAGAAATTTGGATAAAAGCTTTGCAGACAATCCAAACAAAGCTGGATGGGGCAGCTAACCCCCTAGAATTCAAAAAGATCTTGATAGGCTAGATTTTTAAGCCAAATCTAATAAGAAAATATTTAATGGGGAGAAATATGAAGTCTTGGGCTTAGGTTTGTGAAATTAGATGGTACAGGATGAGGAAAAACTGTTAAAGTAGTTTATCTGAAAAAAAAATCTGGGGGCTTTAGCGGACCAAATGCTATCAGCAAGATGAAATGATGGCCAAGAAAGCTAATGAGACATTAGGCTGCTTTGAGAGGCATCACTTCTGGGAGTAAGAAGGTGATAGTCTAGCTGTCTTCTGCCTTAGTCAGGCACACACAGAGTTTGGTATAGTTCCATGTACCATATTTCATATTAATAAAGCAAGAGACTTTCTAGAGAAGTATCAGCACATTAGTGAAGAATTCGGAGCTACTGCCATGTGAAGGGGCAGTATGGGAAATGGGAGACGAGGTACAGGAAGTGGGACATTTAGCCTGGAGAAGAGAATGCTGACAGTGGGGAGCAGAACACGAGAGCCATCTTGAAATGTCTGCAGGGCTATCAGAAGGATTCAACTTGGCCGTTTTGGCTCCAGAGGGCAGGAGTAGGCACTATGAGAGGCCTTTCAAAGGGGGATGGAGGAGAGGGGCTTGCCCCTGCATAGCAGCCTTCCAGTAAAGCCTGGGCATCCACTCACTGGCTGTGTTGTGTGTTCAGCTGCATCTTGGACCAGAGGCCCTCTGAGGTTCCCTCCAGCTTGGACTCTCAGGGCCACTGATGCACAATATGTCCTCTACTTTCCAGCCCAAAAGATCCATTTGCCATTCTGTGTATCCAGCCTTATTATGCTTTATACCCTTTCCAAAATCCTATTGGCTTTCTTGCTGTTTCCCACACGTGCCGTCCCATCACAGTCCTTGTGCCCAAGGGGGTCAGGCTGTGCCCCATTCCTGGAATTCACTTCCCTCTCCATTCTATCTCTGATCATCTCTAGCTTCTTGCAAAGCTCAGTTCAGACACCTCCAACTCTACAACGACAACAGCAGTAATGGTGATGATGATAGTGAAGAAAGCTAATGTTGATATAGTGCTTACTATGTGCCAAGCACTGTGCTAAGCACTTTACAATTATTAGCTCATTTGATCCCCCAACAACCCTTTCAGGTAGGTGCTATTATTATCTCCATTTTACAGATGAGGAAACTGAGGCAAAAAGAGCTTAAGTGACTTGCCCAGGGTCACACAGCTAGTAAGTGTCTGAGGCCAGATTTGAACGTAGGTCTTCCTGACTCCAGGCACTTAGCTGCCCTGATAGATGACAGATATCCTGGTCATTCCCCATTGATAGTGCCCTCACTCCACTCATCTTTGTAGGTGTTGCATCTCCCCAGCAGAATGGAAGTTTCTTGAGGGCAGGCATTGTTTTGTTTCTATCTTTGTGTCCCTAGTACATGTTGTCATTGTTCAGGTATTCATTTGTGTCCAATTCTTCATGACGTTTGGACCATAGCATGCCAATGTTGTCCATGGGGTTTTCTTGGCAAAGATAATAAGGTGGTTTTCCATTTCTTTCTCTAGTGAATTAAGGCAAACAGAGGTTAAGTGACTTGCCCAGGGTCACACAGCTAGTAACTATTTGAGGCTGGATTTGAACTCATCTTCCTAACTCTACGCCACCACTCTGTGCACCATGGCACCACCTAGCAGGCATTTGATAAATCTTTGTTGAATTAAAACACAGCATTACCTCAATTCCCAGACTAAATAGAATGTTACACACATGCTCCTTAAATGTTGAACATTTCTAACATGTATTTTCCTATGCCAAGCTTTCTAGTACTTTCTCCCTTCTAATATTGTCTGTTTGTACTTTTCTTTTGAATTTCAGATGTGACATTCATCCATGAAGGAAATAAAACTTTCTTGGATAACCTTGTCAATTTTGAAAAGCTGGTAGGTAAATACCAAAAACAACATCAAAAATCCTTCCTACTTGGAGGTCAGCATCTGCTTTCCTTCTCACTTTCCTTGCTAGGCTCCTGGACTCAGGCTGTGTGATTGCTTTTCATTTGGTGCCTGGTGACTGAACCTGGACCCCAGACTTTCTATGCTGCCCGTAAAGTGTCATTCAGTTAAAAACACATTCAGCAGCAGACCTAGCCATAAGAGCTAACATTAGGGTGGCTTTTGATTTGCAAAAATGGGATTGATGTGGTTTAGCTTTGGTATTATTGAGCTAGAAATGAAATGGTAAATCCTTGGGGGGATGGGATGGAAAATGTACACTTTCACTGCTTCATGAACATCCCTTCCCCTCCCCCCAAAAATCCCCTAACAACTGAACTGATCCTTCGAGCATTTGTGTAGCTCCCTACAAAGGAGGCTTATGTCAGCTTCTGGGGAGGATGATCATCCTCTGCCTGACTGTTAGGGCACGACCTGGGGGAAGGGAGGAAATGAGAACCTCTCTTGGTCTTCTGCTTCTTTCTCAGGGAAGGCTAAGGAGCTTTCTATTCATTCATTCTTCATTCTGTTCACATTTGTTAAGCACCTACTATGCGTAAGACACCAGAGCTATAACTTAGAATTTTGGCACCTAGGCCTAATCAGCACTCTCCTGTGATGTGATTCAAGATTAATCTTCCAGACTAATTATTAAGGTTCATCCCTAGTTTCTCAAAACAAATTAGGAAAAAGCCCAGTCTATTTAGTGAATGCATTCTCTGAATTCCCCAAGTGACCAGTCGTCAGTGAGGCACTCACTGTGTGAAGGAGGGTCCAGGCCTCCAGACAGTGTAATAGACAAGAGCCAACATGACGGAGTGGAGTGAACACTGGCCTGGAATCAGGACGATGTGGCTTCAAACCCTGCCTCAGACACTTGTAGTGGTGGGAGCCTGGGCAAATCTGGGCTAAGTAATGGGAATTCTGAGGATTTTCTCAGGATCAAAGTCTCCAAGATACATAGTCTTTTTTCCCTTAGGAACAGGCCAAGACTCTCAAAAACTCTTTTCTTGGTTTCTGGAGAGAAGAAAGGGAAATTTGGTATGAAATGCCTTTATACCATTTGCCTTATAGGGTAACGTGCATCACAACTCTCATTTCTGAACAGCAGGGATTATTAGTGAGGGACCCTCCGGGGGTCTGTGAACTTAAATGGGAAAAAAAGACATCTTGATTTTCAATAACCTCTAACTGAAATTTAGCATTTCCTTCAGCTAAAAATATAATTCAGAGAAGGGGCCCATAGGCTTCCCCTGGTGAGCGAAGGCATCCGAAACACAAAAAAGACTATGAATCCCTGGAGTTTTGGAGGTTCTCTTTAGTCTTTCCTCACAACCTCTAAGGAATGTAACACACTTAGTATGGTTTTGTGGGGTCCAGACATTCTTGGGGAGCTCCCACGATGGAAACTCCCTCCTCTGATGTAGATCAGCCACTCACCTATAACTTAGGGTCTTAGAGAGTTTCCCACAGTCACATAGCCAGTGTGTGTCAGAGGACTCAAGTCCTTCTGACTCCAGGCCCACCCCTCTATCCCATAACTACACTGCTTCTCTCTAATTACTATTATCTCCATTTTATAAATGAGGAAACTGAAGCCAAGAGGGTTAGGTAACTTACCCATAGTCCCACAGCTAATATACAGTGGAGGCGGGGCTTAAACCTCAGTTTTCCTGACTTGAGGGCCCACCCCTTTTTCTACCACAGGGCCCCTTGGTAATTGTCCCCATTTTACAAATGAGTAAACTGAGGCTTTGAGTGGATGACTGACTTGCCCATAGTAAGCATCAAAGCCTAGATTCAAAGCCACGCCCAGCTCTCTTTCCACTTGGCTGAATACCTCCCAATGTTTGTACACAAACAGTCTCTGGTTTTTTGTTTATGTGTTTATTTATCACAAAGCCTCTCTGCAAACCATGTCATAAAACAAATATATTTTCCCAGTGGCATAATGCGATAATTAGGCATCACATTAGTAACCCAGCCTTTGCCTCAGCTAAATCATAGGTACAATCAACAGGGTGTCATAAAAACCAGGCTACAAAGAGGTATGTGATGCTGGGGTCATTTAAAACACAAAATTTTTCTTCAATTCTTTCAAATGGGTGAGTGTCAGGCCTGTGTATGGGCTCCTAGTGCCTTCTAAGGGGCATGGAAAAACACTTTCAAACACTAAGGTAAATTTACCTTAGCCGGTGCAAGTAGGCTGTTACCCAGGAGAGGAGCTTACGAGTTCTAAAGCGAATGTTCAACATTTTACAATAGTTGTGCCTGCCTTCGATTTCAGAAAGGTTTTGAGAAGTTGATTTGTTTAGATCAGGTTTCCAAAAAATAAAAATATTTTAGAAACAGCTATCCCAATGAGTTTGAAAAGATACTTTGTCCCTCTTAATAAATCTCCATGTGACAAGCAAAGACTTTCAAAATCCTTCTCTCTAGCTTGCCTTCTTCTCTCCTCTTCCTTTTCTTCATCCTCCTTTTCCTTCCAATCATCTCTCTTCTCCTTCTCTTCTTTCCCCTTCATGAAATGATGATTCCCTGACTCAGGAAGCAGAGACAAACTGTTTGAATGCCCATTCCTTACTGAGGTTTATGTGAGCATTTCTCTCACTAACTCAAACTCCTTTCTCATTGGGCATAAATCACCCTCCATTATAGTCATTACTGCCATGAGTAGAGGACAATGGGCAGGAATTTCAAAATTATGTGCGACTTTAACTTCAAAGGGACCTACCTTCAGACAGTATTTTAAGGCCATGACAGTTCTCAGCAGGCCACAGCATCTTGAGCTAGCCTCCTTCCCAAAAGAAAGACAGAAAGGATCTTCACAATTGAATTTATTAGTGCTTCCTTTCCAGTTCTGACTTTTAGCTCCAGCTTGAAGGTAACATACACACCCATAATTCTGCAGCTCCTTTCTAATGCTGCCTAGCAGATCATTTGGGGGAGGGAGGCAGCCAGAATCACAGAAGCCAGCAGCTGAATTCAAATGCCTCACAGGTCTCAGGATTGGCCAGCTAGTCTTCCGTTTGCTCCTGTGGTCCAGCTACTCCATTCTGTTCTTGTGACACTGTTGTGTCAGTATCCCTTACCTCCCAAACTAGAGCCAAACTGAAATTTCCTCTTGTTAGACAATGAAGGTGGAACAAAGCTTTCTTTTGCCATTTCTTTCTCATTCTCCAATATTCAAAGCATCATCTTTCCTCATATCTTCTCTTTCTCTGCCCTCCTCCTTGAGGAAACCTCAAGATATCAATCTGGATTCAGATTTCAGCACCTCAGACAGTGCCATGCCATAGGGTAGTCCAAGATATTCATCACCCTGGCGCCATAGCTGAAGAAAAGAGGAAACCTTGCATGGGAAAACCAGTCAGTTGAAGGAAGGAAACTGAATCATATACTTACAGATAAGAGTCAGGTCCAGCTTCCTTTAGAAGCCTAGTAAGCTACAGCCGGTGTCTCCTTCCACATGACCTTCCGTGATTGAGGAATAAGAAATGAACAATTACTTGGACCATTGGAATAATTAAAACAATGAAAATAATGACTGCCATCTTCCCCACCCCCATTAACCAATTCTGCTCCTTAGCAGTGAGAATCAGACCCCAGAATAGGCTTTCCCCTTTTTGTTTCCTCAACCTTTTAAAGGATGAAATAGCCAGTAAGACAAGTGAAGAAACAATTTCCTATTCTGCTTTTGTCAGAAAGAAAGTGCTCCAGAGCATGTATGTCTGAGTGATGAAAGTTGTCTGTCACTACTATGTCATGCCTACTCATCTACTTCTCCTTTCTGTCCAGGTGGTCTGTAGCACACTCTGTTTACAGTCTTGTTTCTCTTTATCTCCACTGCTCTTTACCCAAATGCTTTCTCTTATGCTATATTTTCCCCTGTGTTTCCTAGATTTCTACACATGATTATATCTTGATAATATAAACTACTTCTTGCTCCCCTGGCCATGCACTTTTTACCCTTTTTTGTTTCTTTTGAATTAGTTATCATTTCCAAACCCCATTACAATTATGAGTCTCAGAGCATTGCCTCACTGAAACTTAGGAGGTTAAATTTGCCTCCTTGCATATAGATCTCTAGTTTGTCTTTCTTGTCAGCTAACTGGTACTACTGGTATTTTGATTCCTGGTTCCTTTCTCCGAATTTGTCCCTTGTGATCTTCTGGACATCTCAGCTACTACTCTTCCTGCTGTCGTGGCTGCTATACTTGGGTCCATGGGCATAAACCCAACATAGTTTTGTCCTTCCTCCTGCCTTTTCAGAAAGGCCTTTGAATTGACAGTCTGCTATATCCACTTGGTGGTTACTGTACTTGGTATATTGATGATGAAACCAAAATAAAAGAAAAACCTGAGGAAAAAAACAAAAGTTTTGGTCAATTAGGGAGGTGACGTTGGCTGGACAAGGAAATAGGGACCACTAGTCTCCTAAGAAGGGTAACGTGAAGAAAGCGGCACTGAAATTTTTCTGGTAACTCTGTGCTGGCTGGATGGTAGTGGAGGGAGATATTTTCCAAAGCTTTTCAGCACTGAGATCCCAGAATTCTCTAACTCTGAGGGAAGGTTGGTTGGCTAGCCAGAACATTGTTCCCAGGGCAGAAGGATGTGGCTTGGCTTGGCTTAGCCTCCCCTTGTCGTTCTGGCTCTCTGTACCTCTCTCCCTCCCACCAGTAAAACTTTAGCTCCTGGATACCAGGGACTGGGTGTTTGGGGTTGATTCTGGTTCTGTTTCTTTCTCCCTGGTGCCAGCCCAGGGCCAGACATGTAGCCAGTGCTTTCTGGATTAGGTCGAGTATCTGGACCTTCGTTCACATAATTTTTCTTTGTTTCCTCAGCACATGATTGCAGATACCGTCCGATCCCTGAGACACTGCCGGAATAACCAGTTTGGTGAGTGATCCCAGTCTTACCTGGCAGTATAAGCAGTCTGTTGCCTGGGGTTCTGTGTGGTGGGCATGACATGTGTATCTGGTGATGATGTGGAACTTGGTTCCCTTCAGACATTGTGAAGTAGAAAGAGGGGACAGGGCAGTAGCCCATGTCTATATCTCCTTTTCCTTCTGCCCTTTTCTTATTCTTCCTGGATAGTCTGTTCTAATCAATGAAAGTATGTCCAGACCCAGATTATGGGATGCAGGTGGATTGGCAACCCCCTGTGCTTGGATGCCGGTGGATCGGCAGCCCATCAGTACACAAGGCAAGGCAAGCACCGAACAGAGCCATTCCACTGGGCCCAGAATTAAGGAAGGCAAAGTGAATGGGCTGGATTACATTGGATACACCTCCAGTGAATAATCTCAATTTATACTCTAACTCAAAACCCCGTGGGTTTTTTTTTAATATCAGTTTTCCTTCTAATGCTATATGAGATTCAAAGAACAGTGTGATCTCCCCAGAATACAATTTGCAAGTGACTCCAAGGATACTGGAGAGATAAATGAGATAGGGGTGGGTGAACATATCAGCAACAACTTATATGCAAAAAAGGGCAGAAAAGCATCCTCAGAGCCATACATGATTAGAAAAGGAGATGGCACTGTCAAGTAGCAAACATGTGGGTGCCAGATGGACAGCTTGGGGAGGGCATTGGTACCCACTGAGAGAGGCAGGCCACCAGCCAACCACTCAGGCAGTCAACAAGCACTTATTAAGTGATTCCTATGTACCAGGCACTGTGCTAAATGCATCCTGGGGAGACCCTTTAAGGAGCATTTACAGATAGCCGTGACCAAGAAAATCTGAGAAGAAGAACGGGTGGAGGGTGCTGTTGGAATAAGTGTGCCCATGGATGGGATTATGGGCCCGTTGATATTCCGAATGGGTCAATGAGAGAAGGTGCCATGGGTTGTAACTGTAGTGTAGGAGCTTAGATTCCCATGAGGAAGCTGATTGAAAAGCAACAAAAAAAGCAGAACGTTGAGCCTTCTCTCATAGGAGCAGATTTTTTTCTGGGCTGCCCTCCCTCCTTATATGTGCCTTCTAAAATACTTTGCTTCCCTCAGAACTAAGCTTAGAAATCCTGACAGAGAGGGTGGTGTAATAGAGTGAGTGCTGGGCTTGGAGATAGGAAAGCCTGCGATTGAATCCCCACCCCCTCAGATACTTCACAGCAGTGTGGCCTGGGTCCTTTTGGCATAGATAGATAGATAGATAGATAGATAGATAGATAGATAGATAGACAGATCAACGGATAGACAGACATATACATACATGTGTGTACATGTGCATATGTATATATAATATATGTGTGTGTTTATGTTAACTTAAGTTCTCTGAACCTCAGTTTCCTCATGTACAAAATATGAGGATTATATTAGATCACGGGGTTTTAACCTTTTTTGTGTCCTGGACCTCTTTGGCCATCTGGTGAAACCCATGGACCTTTCTGAAGATCATGGTTTTAAAATACTTAAAATAAAATACATAGGATTACTAAGGAAGCCAATTATATTGAAATACAGGTATCAAAATATTTTTTTTTAAAAACCTAAGGATACAGACCCCATTTTAAGAAGCCCTGCTTAGATCACATCACATCTATTCCATCTCTAATCCTATTGCGATTATTTACGTATGTATTGTGTGTGTGTGTGTTTGTTTGTGTGTGTGTGTGTGTGTGTTTTAAATAGAACATCTACACTGTGCCAGATAATGTGCTAGGTACTTGGGGATTCAAACACCAAACTAAAATAATAGCCCCCCTCAAAGAGCTAACATTAGCATTCAGAATATCAAATTTGGTTTTGTGGTAATTATTGCCATTATAATTCCATGTTTTTCACCAGCATTTTATCAGACAATCGAGTGGCCTGGATTACATGAATGTAATCGCCACGGTAACGCTTGGTTCTACTCTGAAATTGACATTTTAGAAGCAGCTCATGCAAATATTCCCAAAGGAACAGCTCCCCCGCCCCCAGCTAAATTCATATGGATGTGAAGCAAATTTACTGAATATTTATTAGAGTATGATAGGCAGGCTTCTTTTCTATTAGGCTTAGTTATTTAGTCTTTAACAACAGGGATTGGTTTTTCTCTTTGGCTATTTGAGTCTGACTAAGGGGACTGTGGAAAAAAAAGGCAGAAGGAAATTAAACATGATCCATGGTTGGCCAGAAGCCCCCCTTTATAAATGAAGCATACCAGCCTCAGATGTCTCCAAGGGTTAGAAAATAATAATGAAATTCTCTTTTTAGCATCGCATTTTCTTCCTTTGAGTCTATGGAGAAAATCACCAAACTCTACCCAGACGTTTGCTTCATTTCGACAGTAATTTCACTATTTGTTATTGTCAAAACAAGAGGGACTGTGAATCATTTTCATTCTGTATTTTAGTCCTTTTTGTTGCTGTTTCCATGAAGTTTTGTTTCCAACAAAGACAAGAATTAGAAGTCATTTGTGAACTCCAAGCCCCAAATTGTCTGCTCCCCAATATTACCCTTACAACACTCCTTTCTTTAAATGGGGGTATTTATACCAACAGAATGGAACTAGCATTAAAAAATAATAATAATTCCCAGGAACCAGCTGGCAAAAAGCCTCACACAGATAGCTGATACTGGCTTTCCTTTTCTGGAAGGGCAAAACTCAGGCCTCGGGCCGAGCTTCTCTCTCTCTCACTAAATTCCCTCTTCTTCACTGTCAGTCTTAGGGAAAAGCTAGGATGCTAGACCAGCACCATGGACATTTCCGTGCTATATAACTAGATAACGTGTGTGTGTATGCACAAATATACATGTATTAACATATAATTGTATATAATACAATTATATTCTAGTTTCTATAATATGTATGATCACTACATGATATATATAATAATGGGATGACATATATTTATATGTTAAGGCATACGTATGTGGGCAGCTAGGTGGCAGAGTGGATAGAGCACTGATCCTGAGTTCAAATCTGGCCTCAGACACTTGGTAGTTGTGTGACCCTGGGCAAGTCCCTTAGCCTTGTTTGCCTCAATTTCCTCATGTGTAAAATGAACTGGAGCAGGAAATGGCAAACCACGCCAGTATTTTTGCCAAGAAAATCCCAAATAAGGACACAAAGAGTCAGACATAGTTAACTGACTGAACAACAACAACAAATATATGTGTATAGGCACGTCATGCCATTATTCTTTTGGCCCCAGTTTTTGATCTGTAAAATGAAGTGACTGGACTGATCTCTAGGGTTCTAGTTTGCAATACAAGATTCAATGAGGCTTTGTTCAATGTTAAAATGATTTATATACAGCTCTTCCTCACTTCATACACACACACACGTATGTGTGTGTGTGTATATATATATATATATACACATATAAAATATACGTATATAAAATCTTGCACAAAGTAGCTATTTAAGAAATAAACTGTATGCACATAAACCTGTATGTAGATGATCATGGAAGATCCAAGGGGGTCCAAGTCTGGAGTCCAGGGCCCTTTCCTCTGTATAGCACCTTTACTCGTCTTTCCCCTCATCCCCTGCCTTGAACATCTTTGGCTTTTGCCCAGCAAGCTGACTCCAAAGAACCAAGGAAGGAAAGATTCCTCTCTAAGCTGTCAGCAGTCCCCCATTTAGAGAGAGATGATCTTTCTGATGATTGAGGTCACACTTGCCAGCAAATAGCATAGCTAAGAGAGACAGTCCAGGGCTGGGAAGCAGGAAGACCTGAGTTCATATCCTGGCTTAGACACTTACTGTCTTGTGACCCTGGGTAAGTCATTTCCTCTCATCTGCCTCAATTTCCTCATATGTAAAATGAGAGGATTGATTGATCTGTAAAATCTGTGAGCCTGTAATTGAAGCTTTTGCCATCACCCAGAAAGGATTCCAAAGCTCTTAGGCTGCTAATCTCTGTTTCTTTTCCTTCCCCCACCCCTTTCTCTGAGATTAGGAGGTGAAGTGTCTCCAAAAGAACACCAGGAGCTCAGATCCTACGTGCACCACCTGCATGTCATTGACAACCAGCAGGTGCTGTTTGAACTTTCCCACCGGATTGAGCCAAGGGCGTGAGCGCATACTCACGCTGTGGCAGCCTGGCGGGCGGACCCTGGGGACAGCAGCACTTTGGATTAAGGGAATGTCGATGCTGAGCATGTGGCTTTCCTCCTGAAAATGGATTTGCTGAGTTTTATCAGTCACTCCCTAGACGCCTGTGGGAAGGTCAGACAGCTTGAGAAGGAGCTGGTGCCAGCCTTCAGAGAGGAGAGAGGCACCGGGGCTCTTCCTGGCGAGCTGGAGCTGGGGTGGAAGAGGAAACAGCACCTGGAATTGGAGCCGGAGTTCCTTATGACAGTATCACTGGTCCAATAGCTTTTCACTTTCATTTGTGTGCCAGTGTTAAAATAATCTTATGCCATGCCATGTCATTTCCTGTTAGGACAAAACATTTCAACCAGAAAGCACAGAATGTGAGGAGGGATGGAAATTTCCCAGACACCTTGGAATGCACTTCTCAGTGGGTCCCACCACATTACTTGAGAGGCAGCCTGGTGTCATAGCTAGAGGTCTGGCCTCAGAATCAGGAAGACCTGTGTTCGAGTACCATCACTGACACATCCTAGCTGTGTGACCCTGGGCAAATCCCTTCCCCTCACAAGGCCCCTGGTTAAGACTAGAATTTACAGAGCAGATGGGAATCTGTGTTGGTGCCTGAAGTTCCTACACTGGTCCAGTCCAGCAAAATTGCTTTTTTTCCAAGATCTTGAAAAAAAAAAAGTCACATCATTTGCCCCCTTTCTGACTCAGCGGTGGTTTCTCCATGGGAATCGCAATGAAACCATGCATGTGTGTGTACACATAAATGTTAAGGGAAACCTGGGAAGAGTACTCCCCATTATGCCTGCTTACATTCTGAAGCTTGCAATTTTCCGACACCCACTTTTAAAAAAACATGATCATTTAAAGATCCACACTTAGGGATGAAATTATTTTCTGCACAGCTGGCTAATTTAATGAAAATTATTTGGACCAATTAGGCAAATTATGCCAAATTGCATCTCCCATAAGGGCAGCATTGTTAATGATTGCCTTTTAAAAAAAACCTGCACTCAGTATAATTTCTGAGGATTTTTTTTTTCCACACTAAATGAAAGACGTCCCACTCCTGTGTATGCTCTTGTAAGGTCTTTGAAAGACACCAGTTCTTGTCATTTACACTCTTTAGGACCTGGGAGTAATTTCCTTGCCTGAAAAATGAGACATTACTGCTCCCTCCCAGAACAGTAGAGGGCAAATGAGAGAGAAGACAGATAAAAGGTGAGGTCTTCTCCACATGAGGGTTGCTATGATTTCAGTGCATGAAAACAAGTTTGGATTTAGGGTGAAATAAACATGCCCCCTCATGTTTAGTTTAATTGTCATAGCTTCCCCAAAATATTGAAAACATATGGGACCTCCAAATGGGAAAGGCCACTGAGGACCCCATTTGGCCCAATCTCCTGATCTAAGCAGAAATTCTCTCTTTCTCTCTCTCTCTCTCTCTCTCTCTCTCTCTCTCTCTCTCTCTCTCT